GGCCTGCTGATCTAATCCTTTGAATAGATTTGGACGTTTCCAATCCTTCAGTTCTGAGCCCTGGAACATGATTGGGTGAGACGAATATGGGATGGTCCTTTTATAGTTCCACCTTTACAAGGGTTTAGTTTTGCTTTCATTTTGACTGTGCTTTTACCACTCATAGACGAGTAAGCTTGTTGCGTTATGATGACTTGTACTCAGGAAGAAACTGAAAATATCGCAGGAGTTCTATTGGACAGTTTCAGATATTAGCACAGTAGACAAAGTGGAGGTTGTTATTCGGGAGAAATGGATCTTTGAAACGGGTAGGAGCTGCTCTTATTCTCTGTACTTAGACTTTCTGTTGATAGCTCTCGCTTACCCTCTGGGTTTTTCTAATCTTGTCTATCTCTGCCTGTCTGTCCCGAGATACATGTTTAGCTTGTTTCTTTTAATACCTGGTGCCTGTTTTTTGTTATTATTTATTTACTAAGACAAAGATTTCAAGAGTTACAAGAGACTAGATTGGGCTTAAAACTAGCTTGAAAATGCCATAAGGGAACAAACTGAAAGTGTTCCGCCTTCACCTGTTAGGCGTGTGTGGAATTTTAAAAAATGTTTTGTAACACAGTATTATAACTTTAGACCATTAACTTTTAGTTAGACAATACTAAATAACAAACAACACCCGGAACGCTTGTCTTGGAGTACTTTGGTGTACTACTTAAATGTCAGCTTCACATGTCTGCTACTTACTGTACAGGTATAAAAGCCTGTGAACTTTGGCAGCTTTAAGGTGTTTGTAGCTGAATGAGTATAAACCTTGTTATTATTTGAAAAAGCTATGTGTAACAGTTAAACAGACTAAACTTTGTCTTTCTTTCTAGGCAGTACCACTTAAACGGCAGAGCTTTCACCAACATTCCAGATATGCCAGTGGATATATACCCGGGAATCTCTGACATGGACTTTCCCGGCCTCAACTTCTCTAGGAATGGAGAGTTTACCCAGGTTGGTTTTTATTTAGCACTTGTACATGCTGACCTACAGATGGTCTCACCGGAACAGTTTTTATTTCACAAGTCTTTGGAAATCTACTGAAGAAAGGGTGGACAATTTTTCCAAAAGATGTTCCCTCATTTGCTGGATTTGTGATGATATTGGAATGGCTTCAAGAATCAGGATGAAGATAGTCTTATAAATACAGAAAGATGTATTTGTCTTGCAGTTTTGTTTTGAGTTTTTTCGTTTATTTGTTTTGTCTACCACTCTCATTTACTTGCTCATCATAGGGAAGGATAATACCTCCCACTCACCCCTTTCATCTTGCCTTTCATGTGTATTAAGTTGAGCCTTAATTTACCGTAGAGAAACCTTATTAAAGCCTGATGTTGTCTAGACGACTGCAGCAGCACCTGCCCAATTCCTGTCAAGGCATGTCATTAATAGGAAGCTATAATTGTGCGATCCTCTCTTCTATGGTTTTATGCCTTTAGAAGTCGGCGTTTTAGTCATGCTTCAAATCATTTTACAAATATTAAGCATCTTAGAAAGTCCTGGAAGTTTTTTCAGCTACTGTGAATTATTTCAGTGCCTGTGAGACTATGCTTAACTTGGACATTCATTCAAAAATGGGAAATACTTAAACAGGGGCATTGAAGACACAGACTTCTACCCATACCCATTACTTTGCATCATTTGCATTTTTTATTTCTAAGTACTTTTGTGTCCATTCAGCCAGTACTTTATAGCTAGTATTGTATGAACAGGAGCCATTGTAATTGCACAGACCAGTGAATTTCTAATCTGAATCCATTTTGAGTTTATGAGTGTCATTATGGAACCACATTAAAACACAATATGCTATGATGATGAGTTTTAAAGAAGAGAGCCACTAACTAGAGAAGGCGTAGCTGTCCGGGCTTTCCTTAGTCCAGCATAAAGCCAAAGCAGCCACAGTGGTGGCTCAAGATAAGGGATCCTTGCTTTGCATATGCATTTTTTCTATAACATATTTCCTCATTATGTTCCTACGAGGCAACTCTTTAAACAGTAGTTCTAATAAAAATGTAGAAAATGCAGATTGTAAAAAATAATAATGTTTTTCAATCCTGGTGCATAAAATACACTTCTGGACATGACTGTAATTAATTGGACAAACCTATCTTTAGTCAGAAGAGATGCTGGAACAGCTCCTTGCTGTAGCAAATTGACAGCATAGCCTGGCCAGTGAACAATGTATTGTCTGTAGATAAAAGCATGCATTTACATTATATGATAAAGAAATCATAGAATAAAAAGTTCTCATATAGTTTTTGCTCAGATGTTTTGCATCAACCAGAAGAACTAAAAGATCTTAAATACATTTAATGAATGTGCACATTATAGGTACGTTATGGCAAAGCTGCAAGGATAATTCAGAGATTTTTGTTGTTGATATCCAGTTTCCAGACACATCATTTGTAGTCCATCATTACTAGCAGTTTCAAATGAAGCACAAGCAGACACAGAATCTACACGCAAGAGTTTCACTTCATGTTTGGCTCCAGATGTTTGAATGAGTCTAATAATTCTCTCTTTAAAAAAAAAGAAAAAAAAAAGGCAAGGTTTTATTGGTTTGTAAGACTGGTGGGAGGGGTTTAAAATCAAAAGCTACACATGTCATATATTATACAAAAGAAAGTTACGTGTCATGCGCGTGTATTGTAGTGCTTACATGGATTGTGTGATTCATGTGGGGTTTCCCTAGTTTTCCAAATGCATGTTTTAGCCTGTCTGGATTGAGCTTTCTTCTGTAAAGTAATCATACAGGGCTCCTGAGTGTATGACACAGATGTCTAATTATCTGTAGGTACATAATTAGAAAACAGTTGTTGTGAGATTTAGTTTAGATTACCTCTTTTCACAAGCAGTAAGTAGTGGAGATTTGTTTTCGTGGTGTCAAAAATATGTGATGTTAAAATGCTTGCTTGTGCCTGTTTGCGGCAGCGAGATCTTTTGTGCTTATATTGTGCTTTCTCAGCTCTTCTTTTTGGTTTTAGACACTCCCTGCCATGTGAGGCATGGGGGAGAAAATGTAAGTCATGGGGTCATCATGACTAATCTGCCAACTCACGCTCAGCTCACTTCATCCTCCATTTCATTCCCCCATTCCGTGGTGATCCTGCCATGTTTTTCCTGTGTCCATCCACAATCAGAAAGCAGAATTTCTTGTTTTTCCCCCCCCACTGTTGATTCATGACAATACAGAAAACATTTAGGCATATTTGACTAGGCAGAGTTTTTGATGGGATCGTTTGGTTTTGTCAAGTGACTGCCGTGTTTACCTCAGCAATTTCTTTGTTTCAGTTACAGCTGTAGGGTCATTAGGAAAATCTCTTTTGGTTTGCTGTCTTCCCACAATGTTACAGTTTGTTTATGCAGCTAACCAGCATATTACCAGGAAGTGTAACTCTGGATTGCTGTAATTCTGAAAACAGTTGATTATTTGTGTTAGAATCAGTAGACTTCCTGTTTATATTCCCGTTAATATTATTTTTATATGACTTTTCTCGAAGTTACTAATAAATAAAATGGACATGTGGCCACTGTTTTGTGATCAGGATAAGGTTGTTGAAACATCATAACCAGAATCCCCTAAAAGTACACAATGCACATCATAAGTAATTAGGACATATTAAATGTGAGAGATTTAAACAATGGCTGAATAAAATTACCTACACGTTATATGAACTGAAGCTTTGCCAATATGTGCTGTCTTTCGCTGGAAACTTCCCCCAGAAATAACAGTTGGCATAAAATACCTTTTCTGGGAGTTATAGTACCACCAAGAAGCTATAAACTAAGGCATTACCAAAACAGTCGGCTTGGACACAGTAAAACTGTGATAAACAGTGGAAAAACCATATTGAGGCTAACTTGTATTTACTGGTTTTTATTAACCTCAAGAATTTTAATGCCATTTTTCTTTAGTAGATTCAAACTAGCAACATATTTCCATTCTGCTGACTCTGCTCACTGTAATTAGAAAAAAAAGAGAGCTGCTACTTTGACAAAAACGCAACCGCGTTTTGAAAGAAAGCTATACCCTTTGTCACAGTGATACATGCATACCTACCAAGCCCAAGTTTTGTAATCTGTGGACCTTAAACATGTGAGTCTATGTGACAAAAGTCACAATGACAACAAGATTTACTGGAAGACAATAAAGACAAAACTAACCACTCTGGCTAACCTCAAGGAGTGCACATCACGTCAGAAGCAGACCATACTATCATACATACTATATCCTCTATATATACAGTATACCTACTGTATGTGCACATGTACACACATTGGAGCACATTTAGGCACACTCCTGGTCTTAGTCTCTTACTACATACTCTTGTTCTGTCTCCCCGTGTAATTGCTCTCACGTTTACACTCATAATACTGCCAAGTACATTTCTAGGAAGTGTGCATTTGCATTGAGTCTTCTTAGTTTTGCTTTTTGTAGAACTGAAAATTTCTTATTGCTAAATAAATCACACTCAAAATTCCAAACGTGAGTAAGTCTTTAGCCAGCTGTTGGCAATTACCTGTAGAAAGATCATTGTCTTTGTCTAAGGTGATATAAACACACTAGATATGTAGTTGAAATGTGATAACATCAAAATATCTATATGGGCAGGCAAAGAAAAGAGAAAAGCAAAGAGAAAGATCCTGTTTAGTCTAAGACCCAGCTGAAAAAATGTTAAGGCCCCTTGGTTCCTGAAAGGCATGCTTTTTTTTAACCTGTGCAACTCTGCAGACCATGAGCTATATCATAACTAAGCTCATATTTTTGCACACAGGTGTAGTTTAAACCTCTCTGTTGCATTTAAGACTCTCATTTTGTAAATTAAAAAGTGTTTGCAATGCATACAGAAATACCCAGCTAATAGAATTATTTTCATTTGTTTTAAAATATTTGATGATTTTGGTGAATTTGAAAGTTCTCAGGGTGTTTTTGTTGTTTTTTTTGGGGGGGGGGGGGTTGGAATATGGTGGACGATCTGGTTTGTCTTGACTTTCTTTTTTTCTGTGGCAAACCTGTCATGATATAAATCAGTTGGTATTTCTCGGTTACTTCCTTATAAGACACTCCAGCACAGTCATTTGACTGGCCTAGTTTCCGAAGGAGGAAGTCAAAGGTGTTAATTTAAAGGGTTGTTAATAGGTGCACTGTTTTCCGTGAGGACTGTGTGCCTTAATATTAGGTTCGGATAGTTTAACTTCTACTCTCATTTGTTTAGGAACTGAGTATTTCTTAACAAAAAATTATTATTGCAATAGTCAGGTTTTGACTTGCACCCGTGTCTACCTTGCAAGTTAGAGATGATATCATCACAGTGAATGGAAAAATACAATTGTTGGTCCTGTTTGATAAGGGTCATCAAATGTGACAAAGGATTCAAATGATTCAAAGTCATTGAGGGCTAGAATCAAAATCAGATTTGGAAATCAAACCAGCTTTGCTTGTTTGTGGTCTTAGTTAGCCCCATTTCACGTAGCTTCACATTGCCACTTAGCTTTTGTAAATCACTGAAAGCAGCTGTGCGCATATGACAATAAGACTACATCCTGATGTTTTGTATGTAAAGCCAGGAATGCATTCATTTGTGTATTTGAAAGGGTCAGCATAAGACTTACAGGTGACTATCGACATATTTTTGGATTATGTTATTAAACTGCACTTGTTCATATAAGTCATTTAAATGCGAAGTTGATGCACTTCACATTCACCAAGAAGACATAGCTTCTTGTAAACCTTTTATGAGCATGATATGTTTATAGGGTATGTAAACTGTTTAGCCTTATGGGTTAACATTACATCATTAAGCTGTGATACATAGAAGGCTTTGATATTGGCTTGATATTGCCACAACAGTAATATAACTGTTTCATGACTATGTACTTGATCCCGACTGCAAGAGTACAATTTGGAAACTGTAGTTATATAACCCAAACTATTAGTTAATGTCAAGTTGTCATAAAAATGACTTTTTTAACTGAGTGACACTTGATGACAGCAGTGATAAACGTTTGAAAAGATTCCACGTTTATGATGGTGTACTTCCCTTTCAAATAAAGTGGTACTTCTTTTGGTTGTGAAGCAGCAAGGTGTGTTTAGGAGTTCGAAAGAAGTACATCAATGATTAATTTCTCCCCAGTGGCCTTCCATGTGAAATGAAACACACGCACACACCCAGACTCACATACATACACAAATTATTCAGAGGATTCCCAGTCATACAATGATGACACCATGGACAGGCGCCACTCTGTCTCTGAGAGCCTGACTCCCCTTCAATTCAGTGAAGATGGACATTACAGTACCTCTCCATGCTTGATATCATGTATTCCTGGAAGCTGGGTGTACAAATAGGCCCCCCGTGTTTCACATAAATCACATTATTTCTCTTTTTAAATACCACAATGTTTTCCTTTATGATGGACAGTTGGACAGTTAACATTGCTCTTGTTTTAGAAAAACTGGCACGTTGCTGCCTTTGATAAGCAGTCAGATTCCCAGAATATTGTTTTGTTTTTTTTGTTGTTTGCATTTTACAATCACACCCATAGTTCCAGTAAGCAGTAATAACTTTTTATGAATAGGTGTGCAGATAGGCTAATCTTTGAAAGACCCTGTGAGATTGAAAACACGCACTTTTAACAATCTCGGCTGTTTTTTCTTTTTTTCATAAAATCTCTTTAATGGTTGTAGAAGAAGCTCTCTTGATCGAAAACTATATCCTATTCTGTGCTGTTATATCTGAAAAAAGGTGTCCTGTCATACCTGACACACCCTTCCCAGAAAGCTTATTTGACAACTTGTTGCTTCTGCCTTTGTTAGCTTTTGTGTGTATTAATATTTACCTTATATTAATCAGCATTTATTAAAAGAATAGTGACTGGCCTAAAAATGAATCTTTCTAGATAAAGAGTCACAAAAAAAGAGTATGAAGTAAGACAGCAAGCCAGGCAGGGATTTGGCCTCTAAATATAATAATGATTAAATAGTGGCCGAGTCCCATTAAACATAGCAGTAAGCAGCAGGGTGTGAGGAGAGGCCAGGTCCAGAGCGCAATACTGTTTACACTACAAATGCGGTTGAGTTACACCATGTACAGTAAAATGGGCCCTACTGCCAGTAACTCTAGTCACTTACCAACAAAAGCATCATTTCCTGAAAGCTCCTCCCCTCCTCCCTCCCTCTTCTCCCCACCTCTCCCCTCCCCTCCTCCTCTGTTCTCACTCGCTCTCCAACCACCTTTTTGAGCTCAGAGGAACTAGTCCACAATCACTATGACTAAACCCCTTATGCAAATACCTGACAGTCCTGGTGAAGCAGGAAGTATGTTTTAGAGTTGCTTGTATCTCTGTTTGTGAGAGGTTGTAGGTGTGCGCTCATTGCCCACAGCAGATCTGTGGTAGAGGCAGATGTGTGCTCTGAACCATAGAGGAACTGTGAAGGGGCTAGTGAGAGTCCTGTGCTGGGTGGGAGCGCACCAGCTGTAAAGTGATTACCAACACTTTGATCAACACATGGAAGAGACTGTCCAGTTCAGGGATTCAAGGTGAAGCAGGAGCGTATGTGTGTGTGTATTTTACTCCCCCAAACTGCAGCTGTTGGATCCATGTCTCTCATGCAGTTCTGGACTAAATTTTATGCTCAGCTGGGAAAACCGCTACCAAAGGTACTGTTTGCATCTTGTTGTCATATATTTTAAGTTGAATGAAGAGTGTTGATTTAAGCACTCGCCGTTTTTATTTTCTAATGTCACGATCAGCCCTTGAATACTATGAATAGAAAAGCCTCGTGACTAACTGTAGGCTGTTATTGTGAAGAGTTTTTATTGTCCCTGTCATGGAACTTGATAACAGTTCATTACCCAGCCATCGTTGTATTTTTAATTTCAACTTCCTTGAATTAATTTTATAAACGCTTCCTCTAAACACAGCGCTGAAGGAGACAGGCCTATGTTGTTTCTTTTATTGTAGTATAGGGTTTTTTATATGGGCTTGGCCTTCTTTGGATTTGATCTGTTTGTAAAGTAACTGTATTGAGACACTTCTGACAGCTGACAAATTCGTACTATATTAAGATGTATTTTAAAAACTTCTTAAATTAGTTTGTAGTAGCGCTTACAAATGCTTGTTTCCTGAACAAGATTGAGATATGTCTCTGATTATGCCCTACACCAAGACTGAAATTGGTGTAGAGCACGAATATGATTCATTCTATTGAAAGAAAGAAGGTTACCTCATCTTTGTTCATTATATCTTTAAGCTTTTTGCTTCCCTATTTAACTGTCTTAGAGTAAATGATTATGAAAGATGGTCTGTTAGTTTTTTAGATCAGTTTATGAATATTTTTTGCCGACAGACCAGTCTGCCAGCCAATCATCTGCTCCACACGGCCACAAACTCTGACAAATTATTATGTGCCACACTCCACGCTGTCTACCACTAAGTGCTAGAACCTGATATCTTGTCAGGCTAAATGGCAGTCTTGCCGGTTTTGTGGATGACTATTAAATTTGGCCATTGTTGTGCTGGATTGTAAATAGACCATCATTATTTTTTGTATTATGATTCATTAGACTGCACGGTGTCAGTGAAAATGTGGCAAATATCCGTTTAATGACTTGATTTGGGGAAAGGCTTGCTGAGCCCATTGAATTTCTGGTTAAGTCAGTTGGCTAATCCCATGTCAGCATTTCTTCTTTCAGCAAAAATTGAAAAAGGGTCCAGTCATGAGTTCCAAGGAATTTACACATTTTAATCATATTAAAAAAGAAAAAAACATCATGCATGGATATTATCAGTGCATGAAAAAATCTTAGGCACACAGTATTTAATCATCTTTCTAACACAAAAGTCAGCTGCACATCTGCACATTATTTGCTGTGGCCTTCCCTCCAATACACAGTGACCATTTAGAGAGTCAGAGTTTAGCATACTAAAGTGTGGCCACCTGTTTGATCAAATTCAAACTTGAACGCATGGAGAAATCTGTAGTAAAAGTTTATCCAAACCTAGAACCTCTTGTTCTAGAGCTTGTTTCTTATTTAAGGTACCAATTACTGTTACATTGCAAGACTGTGAACCTGTCATTTAAGGTGCAGGGAAGCCTCTCGGTGGGCACATGTTGTCAGTTTCCTGGTATTACGTTCAACCTCAAGTGTGACCCCAGGCGTGTACTTGACGGGAAGTGAATAAACAATGATGGTGAGATTAAGTGAGTGCTTCGGGGAGTGTGTGTGTGTGCGTGTGTGCGTGTGTGTGTGTGTGTGTGTGTGTGTGTGTGTGTGTGTGTGTGTGTGTGCGTGTGTGTGTGTGTGTGTGTGTGCGTGTGTGTGTGTGTGTGTGTGTGTGTGTGTGTGTGTGTGTGTGTGTGGGGAGGGGGGTACTGGGTCACTGATAAAAGAAGACAAAGGTTGGTTGCAAGATGTGCAGTTTTCTTAGGCTGCAGGTTGGTGCCTCGCTTCACATGCATGCTGTCTTTTTGTATGTAGCAGTGCATAAATGGGTTTGATTGAAAGCAGCATTACATCAAAAAAATATCACATTTCACTGCCAGTTGTAATCGCAGTATTTTAGAGTGGTGCTAGGTGAACAGACAACTTAACCAGGGGACATTCAAGCTAATTATTTCTGGCTGGTAATGTTTCTACTACGACACAGGATACAAGATTCAAAAACTACGACAGCATACGGAAAGGAAGACAGCCGTTAGAACAACATGACTGTCAGCGTAGTAATACTAAAATGAGAAAACTCAGCACATTATTTTTTAGAGTCCTAAAACTGTCACCAAAGTGAAGTTAATAGTATTTTTTATGAAACACAATTAAATAGAATAGACTAATGAACATGTATAACTGTTTTGTGATCATTCGTTCCATTCAAGAGCTTTTGCATTTCCCGGACCGTTTGCCTGTTACAGCAAGGCATAATTAAAAGTCCTCTGGTACAAACTTGAATAAAATACTATGTAATCAAACTTAATGTGAGAAACTTGTTTCAAACATATTTGGAAACTCTTTTAACTTTTTGTAAAATGCCCCACTGGGGCATGCTTATTACGAGGCTAGTTTAGGATTTATTATCAGGTTATTGTATTATAGCAGCACTGTTATATCATAGAAAGGATTCGGTTTCTTGGCATTGTGGACCTGTCTACCCTTGATCTTGTCTGTTGGCTGTTATTGTCTGAACTAACAGTAAGTAAATCAGAGATGGTTAGGCGATGGCTGAGATACTCTTTTTACATGCTCCGGAAAATTGTTAGAATACGGTTGATATAGAAGTGCTGGGTCAGTTTCTTTTAAATAAATAAAGGCATTTGAACAGCACTGTCAGTTTTTAATTGTTTTGGCTTCATGTAGGATGAAAATTGCTAAGGGTTTCTGTGTCCCTTACCAGATGTGTTAAGTGTGAAAGTGACATATTGGACATATTGTTTTACAGAAAGTTCTGATTTCGTTGGATAGTCAGGAGAAAAAGTGTTGCAGGTGTTCCTTGATGGGGAACAAAATCAAAGTCCGTACCTTACAGACTCATTGTGCATAAGGTACTCAACTGACAAAAGGTGTCAAAGTGTGGGTGTGTGTCATGTACAAGATGAGAGGAAGGTTATTTGAAGTACATTTTTGATTTCATACATCTGCAGACTTCCTTTCTTCTTAAGAGAAAAACTTTTCCTAGACTATGCTTTGAATATTAGCTTAGGCTGTACTTTATAATACCAATAATATTTTACCTTCTAAAGCAGTAACTTACCATATGCATCTAGTATAGATTATTCCCCTATAACAAGTTTTAAAACAATTTTAAATCCTCTCTATTTTGAATGCGACTGTTTCAAATCAGAGGATTTACCTCTGTTGCAAGTGCTTCGTGGTATGCTGTGTTGAAATTTCTGTCATCTTGCGTCAACACTCCCCTTACATCCACTTTTCTCAGCTCTGAGCACGCAGGCCCACATAGAACACAAAAACAGACACACAGTGTGATTCTGAGTGAGTCACTTTAATGTGCGTTTTTTCACCGGTTTTTGTTTTTTTTGTCTCACAAACATGTTCAGAATCTTGTCTTGCTTTGAGTTGCATAGTGTTGTACAAACGTTTCATTTCTTATCTATGAACCCTTACAATCAACAATGTAGCTCGCTGGTCTCATATTCGTGCTGCAGCATGACAGCAAGCCCAAGCATGTAGCCGCGATCATGTCTTCAGTGACCTGAATAATAAGGAGTCCCTGCAGCATATTGTGCCCCCCATAGATCCCTGATCTCAACATTATAGAGTCCGTCTTAGACAAAGAGTTAGTGGACTCTTAGATGGCTTTAATCTACAGAAGAATTGTAGAAAGATGTTTAGAAAATGTACTGAGAAGAGTAGCTTCTGTAAATACCATTGACCCCACCCCCTTTTCCCTATTTTTTTTTTCTTTGACTACAATTTGCTTTGTGTCAGCTCACCCTCATGGCACCCGTCTGTAGATGACTTCCTGTCTTCTCATTCTTATCTTTAACTACTTTGCCTTTACTTGATTTTATTGCTAGGAAAGTAATTAGTTTTTTAGATGAACTGATTTTGCTAAAATTTACCCCTTTTAGTTTCTGGTACCCAGCTCCGTGTGAACCTTAGGCTCCCCTACAGGCAGAAGAACCGTCCAGCTGGGGACATCCTTTTATTTTCCAGAACACGTGAAAACACTAAAAAATTCCAGGCTTGTAAGTAACAAGCTGGCTTTCTTGATTCAGACTTTGCACAACATGAAGGCCTGCCTGTCAGGAGGTATTTGGACTGAATATGCCCCTTTGATTAGCATAGGTTAGTCTGGTGCAGATTAGACCAGACTGTCTGCTGGCTAAACAAGGAAACAATCGCTCTGACCTTTAACCTTTAAAAAGGAATATAGAACAGAAATAGCTGATTACTAATCAGACTTTTCACCCTAAAATAGAAAATGTACTAAGTTCTGTCAGAGAAAGTCCACTGGGTTAGGTTTTCTTTATTAGCACTGATTAATGAAATGTGGTCAAAGGTCGACTTCCACTTAGGGAGGATCCTGAGGAGAGCTCTTTGTGAGCTGCGAAGCTGCTGAACTTGAATGCATTTTGTTGACAGTGGCTGACATTTAAAAGTGTTTGAGTATATTTTCTTTGGTTGGGAGGTTGTGTGACTAAAGGGTCTTATAGACCAGAACAGATGTAAAACTTTCCATGTGTACAGAAATAAAGTGGCTTTTTGACAAATTGGCTCCTTGATCAAAGCTCTGTTTCTGGTTAAGCTGATTTATGTCTGCATGTCAAAAGACAGAACCTTCTGTCCACAAATTCATTTAATGCTAAAAATCAAAGAAGCCCTTTTTCAACAGCAAGTTAATCAAAGAACTTGATTTTTTTTTTAAGGTCAGCACCAGCCTTAAGCTGTATGGGGTCAAGGAAAAGGAAAAGCTTACAGTCGTGCTATTAAAGTCACAGTCCGGTAGATATGTCAGGGCCGTCTGACATGCAGACAGTTTGGCATAACATAATCCACAGAGAATGAGAGACACCAGTAGTGGCTTTTCAGTTACTGGCCCCAGACCCACATCTTAAGAAGGCACACAAACATCATCAGTCAGGTTCTGTTGACTGCATGGATAAGGTCAACAGCTGACCCCAGTGAGATCAGTCTCGGGTTGTTCCAGTCAGCTGATCATAGGGGTGCTGTGGATTATATGAAAACTCTATCCCATCACTGCATCCACATAAACAGACCACACAATCTGACAGATAAGATTTCAGTACACCTACTTGGCTTGTTGACAGGGTCATGCTGGCTTACACAGTCATTTTACACTACTGACATTACCAAGAACTTGGCATTTTATTAGCTTTTACAACTATCAGTCTCCAGAGTGTGGTGTGACTCTCACACGTCTAACCCTCCCACTACTACTGTTACTAATATTGGTACACCAGTATTTTCATGATCTTAAAGCATTCTGTAGGATATTAAGACAGGGCTGAAAAGGGGCTGTGCTTAATCCAGAGACAGTTGAGCTTGAGCTACATCCATATCAATCAGTCATGTGTTGGATTATACAGACAATCTTCTTGCAGCTGAATTTTTGCTGGAAAACAAAACTAAACATTGAAGAGATGCCCAAAGGGGCAGAGAGACAAAGTTGCCGGGGATGAGAAACAAGGGGGATGGACATTTAGAGCTTGGGATAGTGAATAAGCAGGAGATGACAGAAATGTAGGTTGTGTTCGTGAGGTTATTTGAGGTGTGCATGTGTGTTTGTGTACATGTGTGGGTGTGTAGGGTAAGTGGGAGGCCAGGGTGACTTGTTTCCTGGCCTTGGAAAATTTAGCCAAGCTGGCAGTGTGTAGGAGGGGAAAGCCCTGGGCCTGGCCTGGCTGAGGCTTCAGCGTGGCCTTGTATTGAGAGGTTATTGAGTTTAGCAGGACGTGGCCTGGGACAGTATACAGTAGCTCTTACGTTAAGGTTGTGTTTTGGTAGCGGGGTAAAGCTGTGGTACGAATTACATTACTAAATGCAGATGATTAATTTTTTTCAACAAATTACTGCTTTTACTAGCTTGAAATCGGTAATAATATTTTTCCTTTTTATTGCACTATTTTCGGGATATCAACTGTTGTCAGCACTTCCCGCATGCCAAAGAAAACACCAGTGAAAAGAGACAGCTGACAACACCCTGTGTGTCACGGGAGGCATGTGGCTGTCCTTGGATAACATTAGACTTAGTAATGAAAACAACAACAAAACAGAGGAACTGACCATTCAAAACTAAACAGGAAAATAAACAAATAAAAATAGACACCTTGTGTAAAAACGGTTTACGATGTCATGACTGGAAATACTGGCAGCATCCTTTAAAATATTATTTTAATGATGTGTTTGAGAAGGGTTTGTGTCTGATAATCCTTAGTATTCCAAAAGGGCGTTTTCATTTAAAAGGAAGAGAAACATTTGTAAACTGATATGCTTATAAAGCTAAGTAAAAGACAGGGCTGCTAGAGTTCTCTGTATGACACTGCATGAGTTTATCATCAGGGCTAATTATTGTCAGTGTGGTCATTATATTAGAAACGGCTGTTCCTTCCTTCTGTCATGGCAACTGCAGTGTGTGTGTGTGTGTGTGTGTGTGTGTGTGTGTGTGTGTGTGTGTGTGTGAAGGACAGATAAATACTTCTCCTTACCGTAATATGTTGGCTAATATTTATTCTAGCCTAAATTTTGTTTTCACATCTTACGATTATGGACTCACTGGGATTTTTTTGTAAGGGCTGGAGATTGTGTGAAACTGTTTAAGGTTACTCGTCATGCAATAAATGCATCAACTTTAGCAGATTAGGGAAATAAAGAAGCTAAGCTGCTGGTGGGCGGTTATGTTTAGAAGTGTATTTTTCCAGTTCTGATTCTTAGAGCTGATAACCACCATCTTCAACCACAAACACCAACTTCTACTGCTCTGCAGGCATCTCGTGTGCTGGAAAGGCTCTTTGAGGTTGTTTTTCACTGCCATGTGCCTACATTAATCATCAACAGACAGATAACTGTTATTATCCAGATACTCAAGTACAATTTACTGCTGTGGATACATGATGTTCAGTGTTCGTGTTCATATGTGCCGGTAGCTTCCATACAAAGTAAGGTAATTGGGAGTCATTGTTGCAGGCATTTGGTCAAATGGATGACTGCATGTGTTGAGGGTTTCAACTTTACTGTAAAGAGAGGATATAATACTGGCTTCACAATTCACAGCAGAGAAGAAGCTGAAGTGAAAGAGGAACGTGAAAAGCAAAAAACAGGATGGCGGACAGATGATGTGAAAAAGCATGTGCATGGACTTTCACATGTTTCGCTGTTGTACAAACACAGTTTTTTTCCCACCTATTCCATGAAAATAATATAAAATGTGTAATTTGGCCACACAAAAACACATACACAGATATTTGTTTTATTACGCAACAGATACAAAGAGTGCAAAGGAGAAAGTGTGAGGCAGGATTAGCAGTTATATGATTGTAAGGCTGTGAGCTGTGGAAGGAGCCAGATTACCATCAGAGCAGTTGGAATTCAAGCCTTATCTCTGCTTGGCAGGGCCCACTGTTAGGAGCAGTAGATGGAGTAGCCTTGGGTATAGGCCTGCCGGGGGACAAACACTGCTGCCTCTGTTACGCTCTGCTTAACAACTCGATTAGCATGGTTCTGAGGTTGGACATGTCTGGGTTAGCACCCACCAGACTGCCGCAGTTTTCTGTGATTCCTCTGTATCATTTTGGTTGTCTTAATATAACAACACTGCAATAGCAAAGCACATAATGTTACATGGTTTTACAAGATGCAGAAAACCGAGAAGTCTCATCATAATGTGGCGCTAAGCAATAAACAGCTGGCATACAAATTAGCCATTTTTGTAGAATAAATTAAATTAGCCCTTGTTTTCTTTTCAAGCTTGATTGAATTCATGGTGATGTGCAAAATAAGAATCGTTAAGGTTTTGAGAGTTTCATAACCCTAACCGGCTTTATGAGGAAAGCTAATATGACAGCTGTAGGTGTAACTCAGATTAGATTATATTTAGGGGGTTTTCTTTTGTGTTGTTTGTTCATCAGGTCTGTATTTGTATCTAAACTCATCTTGTAACATTTTATCAAATTTGTGGTTAAGTGTGTTGTAAGAAAGACAGGCAATGCTTAATAATTTTTATACGTGTGTCTGAGCTTATGCGTGTGTTTCCGCAATTATGCCTCAGTGGAACGATGCCTCTGGTGACACTGTGTCCTTTTTCCAAGCCTTGTTGTTTATTCATTTATCCCAAGTCAGAATTGCACAGAATGGAGGGAGCAGGGAAGGGAATTAGGACACGGAATAGCATGAGGTAGAAAGTCACATAGTTGATAGAATAGAGAAACAAACTAGCAAACGGATACGTGATATAAAAGTGATATAAAGTGACCAAGTTGCGTGTTTGGGAGTGGTAGTATAGGACACCCACTCTTATCTACAACTCTTTCTCCATACAAAAGCCAGTTGTTCCAGTCAGCTGTCCGTAGGCTAGAAGAACTTTGGAGAGTCTGATTGCAGAGCTCATGCCTGATCTTGCCCTCAGGAAGCGCACACATACACAAACATGAGGAGAAAAGGAAAGAGAAAGGAACAGGGAGGGAGCTGTAGAGCATAAAGTGAGCAGTAAACACTGATAAGCTTAGTGCACTTTACAATCCACAAACATCCACATAATAGGTTAATAAGTTGCTTTGTTTCTCTAATGTCACAAAGACAAAATACACAAATATGTATGTAAGCAAATGTGGGGCAGAGCCACTTTTTCTCTGTTTGCTGTTTATAGTCCTTCCTGTTCACCATTCCTACGTGATGTTGTCATGTTAACACTTTGAGCTCTACGTCTAGTCCTCTCATGCTTGTGAAACATTTTCTGTTGAACTGTGAGTAATGGCTAACAGACAGCCATGACAGAAGTTCCTGCAGCTTCTCGGTATTAATCAGTCCTACCAGATTGTTAGGACTGAGTCAGCAGCTCAGCTAATGATTCTGCATGATTATGGACTTTTTTTTCTTACTTTTGTTCTGTAAGCATAGTATTGTTCTTCCCACAAAGCCATCTTCAGTCCTTAGAGCTTATTGTGTTTTAACAGAGATCGCCTGTGGCCATATAGCAATATTGGTGGTGGGGGGTATCAACATTTGGAGAAATGTTGAAATTTTCCCAAATTTCCAAATAAGCACGTTAGTCTCTTTGGGGAAGTATTCACAGTTGCCTCGTGGTCCCCTAGTGGGTGTATGGGGAACAGTGTGTTGTGGGAATCTCCACACATTGCCCAGAGTGTATTTATACACCGACTCATTTATGGACGTCACAAAGAGATTTCTCCTCTGTTGAGTTTCTTGTTGTCATTCAATTCCTATCTCTCCAAATACATGTTTATAAGTCTCAGGGGGCCTAGGGGTGCCTGTGAGGGGCTAGTTAAGGAACATGGCATGCTAATGGTTTGGAAACGATATGAATAGAGGCGCGACTGGAAGGCAGCCATAGCTGAAATGACAAACATACACACAAGCAGCCTTATTGTGCCTTCCCCTCACGTTCTACTTCACGTGCTCATTCTCACATCTGTGTGTAATTATATTTTGTTTGGGCTACTCGTGTTACACCCAAATAAATGTAACTTGGCTAAAATCCAGAATGAATACGGCTCCTTTATTATCCAAACATCACTCCCATTCATCCTCATGCCACACCTTTTTTCTTTTGCTGTTTGGTATTGGTGCCGTGTCTGTTACATTTTTAAAAAAAGCTTTTGTTGCGCCCCCTTTATGTTGCATAAAGCTTGATGGTGAGGGACCGTGTCTGGATGTGGGTATAAATATTGTTTCTTTATTTAGAGATCTACTGAACTCTCTGCCCTAAATTTTGTCCCGTTTTAGAGTTTACCTTTAACACCTCGTCCCGTTTTTTCTTTGCCTGCAGGACCTGCCCTGCCTTGATGACATCTCCACAAACTCTCTGTTCTCCTCTCCGACTGACTCACTGTCGGAGTATGCTGATACCCAGTCCTTCATCAATGCAGAGAACCTGGACACAGTGCCCACAATCTGGGACGTCAGCACTAGTACCACCACACCAGCACAGAGCCAGTTAGAGGTCAGTAACAAGCACTCGCTCACATGTCATTACCAGAAAAACTGGTTACCACACCTTTGCCTCTTACAGATATGATATGCAACAGACTTGTTTGCCTCAGCATACGTATGTCTTCACTGGGGGAAGTTGGCATCGAATAACAAACAGTAGCTAAGGGTTATATTGTCCATTGTATCCCGTAAACACTAGTGCTTTCCTGCCTTACGACTGCGTCTGCAGCCTGGCGGTGAAGTGGTTAGCACTGTCACCTCCAGTTTCCTCCCACATTCCAAAGACATCCATGTGAGGTTAATTGGTGAGTCTAAATTAGCTGGAGCTGTGGATGTGAGATAGATAAAGCGCTGTTTTAATGGGTGAATGTGGCTTGTAGTGTAAAGTACTTGGAGCATAATATAATGTTGATTTAGTGTTCCACTCTAAGTTGGGATTTTCATGTTGTGGCTGTGCACAAGTCCATTCTTATGAAGTATAAGCTGTGAATTAAAAACTTCTAAGCAGCAGACACAGCTCTCATATAGTAACTGTGCAGCATATCTTTTGGTGCATATCTACTGTCTTTCTTATCTAATATCATTATCATCTTTCTGTGCTGTTAGCACACCATTTTACCACCTACCTAGCTACCAGTACGTTTGTTAATGTGTAGTTTTTTGCGTTTAATTCATTGTACAGTGAAACCTTCAACTACGCACCGATGTGATGGTATTTAATCTCACATATTTAAGCCGTTAAACCTCTCAGCACTGGTGGAAATGACACAGTTATTTTATTCATATTGAATTCTTATTACATATAGCAGGAGAGTCATTTGGTGCCGAGGTTGTACAATGGTTTTCCCAGTTGCTTTTACGGTTTACGCTGTTGCTGTTTGCAATGACCAGTGTCTCGTCTTTTCATTCAGGAATTATGTTTGTATCCATTAGATAAAATTTGTTGTTGTTAAACATTTCTCTTTGGTCATTACATTTTTTAACTGTTTTCTCTGTTGTAGACAAATTAGGAGTATGCATGCACTTTCATGCTCTCTAAATCAGTGTCCCGAGGAAAGCAACTTTGTTTTCAATAGTTGTTCCTCTAGCCTGCAGTTTCATTCCTGTTAAGCTCTCTTTGAATTAGATGGGTCCGTGGATATCTTTTTGATATGATCAGAGTACATTTATTTTCCCTGCTTTCTGAAAGCCTTTTTATTTTTTTTCCTTTTCATTCTGCCCTCATTTCGTTCATTATATTTCCCAGACTATATTTCCCATGCCTTTATCTTCCTTTCATTGTTGTTGTTGTCATTGCTGGCTTTTCACTGCCAGTCAAATAAAATGCATTTTGTTTAGTGCAGCTTTAGGAGAGTGCCCCATCACTCTCATGCACATGCATATAGACACAAATGCACAGGCAGATTACTCTCGTCTTTCTTTGCTTTAATCCTTCTTAGGCACAGTGTTTTATTTGAGTTTGTATTTCTTTATTTTATGTTTTTTTGACAGCAGAATGGCACCAGCAGGTTTCAAGGCTTGGCAAGTTTGGAGGATATATCTGCTATTATCAGCACCCCACCTTTAGGAGGATTCCAGGTAGTCACGTTAACCTCTCCAGTCTGATGTTAAAGTTAAACTCCTTGAGCTTACTCATCAGTAATCATATATGGGAATCATATATAAAATATAGATTATGTTTTAGGTCTTATTTGCAGCAGCTGCAGCGGTTCACTCAAAAAATATGCCCAAAATCCTGTCTTGAAGTAATTTGATTTCCATGTAATTCCATTGTGTTATATTAGTTCAATGTAAAACACTAAATTTAATGGAATCTGGTCCAATTAAATTTAATTGATTCGTATATGTTTAGTTAATACCCAGCATATTTCCCTTACTGATTCATTATTTGAATAAATAAACATTAGATTTTTACATATTTCAGTTGCATTTTATTCAAAATTACTGCTTCATGTTTAGGAGGGCAATTCATTTTTTTGAGTGCATCTTTTAGATGTTTTACACTGAAAACATAACATGGCTCTCATCTGGGGGTCCCGTTGAATTTAGCAAAACTTCATAAGGTAAATTGTAATGCTCCTGTCTACCATCTGTATTACCACAGGTGACAAAAGCATGGCGGCATATTGTACATGCCACAAATGTACATTGCATAAAAAACAGAGATTACTTTGACAGGAAAAGAGGCATTGTAATATTCAGCTGACTGTCAAAAAGAGGTCCTCTCCGTTTCCACTCTCTGTCTTTTGTCTGCTTGACTACATTTTTCAAATCTCTCAATTCAATCTCCTTTAATTGGCTTCATGCATTTTATTCACTTGTTATTTTGCTAATTTTCTGGTTAATATTCCTTCTTAAGGAACTTTTCCAGTGTGCATTATCGTCATACTAACTGCTCACCTACTTCTAAATTTCAGCAGTTTTCTCTCTCCTAACTTGTCTTCACCTAAGCTGAAACAACAAAATATTATTCCCAAATGCAACGCTTGCTGTTGTGATTACATTACTGAAGTCTCTGTGGTGCTTCCAGCCTCAGACAACCCAGGCAGCAACAGAAGAGGAAGAGGAGGCCGAGGAAGAAGAAGCAGAGGAACTGGGACATGTAGACACATACGCTGAGTACAAACCTTCCAAATGTAGGCCACTTGAATGAACTTCAACATCAGTTCACCCATTAATTTGTCTGCCTTTTTCCCCCTAATACAACATGACACTCAGTTTATGGTTAACATGTTTTTTTCCTCTTCTCTTCAGCCACTATAGGAATTTCTCATCCTGACATAGTGGTGGAAACAAACACTCTATCCAGTGTCCCTCCTCCTGACATCACATACACTCTGTCCATCCCCGAGTCAACTATTAAAAATGGTCTGCTGTCTGCTCTGCAGCTAGAGGCTATCATATACGCCTGCCAGGTACACATACCAGCACACAATACATGAAGCACTTTTAATGGCGTGACTCTGGAGGCATATTGATCATCATTCGTTCCTTATGCACCCTCAGCAACATGAGGTGATCCTCCAGAACAAGCAGAGGGCCGGCTTTCTGATCGGAGATGGGGCAGGGGTCGGAAAGGGACGCACTGTGGCAGGAATCATCCTGGAGAACTACCTTAAGGGAAGAAAAAAAGCACTATGGTAAGAGTGATAAACATGGTACAACAGATGGGCCAGTAAGAAGCCTGTCTGCATAGTCTGCCGTTTTAATTAAAGCACTCTTAGCAATTTTCAGAAAACGGAAAGACTACGTGAGTTATTTGGTGACCTTTTTTTGACTTCTTCATTACACAATCACATGAACAGTTTTGGTAAAGTCATAGGGCATTTGAAATCAGCCTACGGAAAATATTTATAATGTGAGCTCGGTGTAATTTCAAAACTATATAAGGGAGTTCAGAAGGTTAAACTGGAGACAGAAATTACTTTCATTTGGACTCCTACATTCAGTTTCTACCAATATTAAGACCAAACATCTCCTTTTATCAGTAAATGTGAGCTTCTAGAAAAGCAATTGCAAAGTAGGATTTGTATGAAACTAGAGAATGTTAAGAGTCACCTGTTCCATGAGGCCTCAAAAGGTTAGAGTCAAGAAAAACACTTCTGAGGGGAAAAAAGGACATGACTAATGCGGGCTATGATTAAAAAATAGATCGATTTTCTGATTGGGATTTTTGTCCACCTGCATGATATATCCTGTTTATGCACAGTAGATTTACTGTATGTCAAAGTCGGCTAATTTCCCCTGTCTTTTCCCTCAGGTTCAGCATATCCAATGACCTGAAATTTGATGCAGAGAGAGATCTCAAAGACATAGATGCACCGACTATTCCTGTGCATGCTTTAAACAAGGTGAGTTCAGGTGGAATTTGTGGGTCAAACTGAGAAAATTAGAACAGTTGTTATGTGTGCATGAGCGCAATCGGTGAAGTAGAGCGAAGCACTATTGTGACTTGTTTAATGTTTGTTCTGTTCTAACAGATAAAGTACGGTGACACAGCTACCTCAGAAGGAGTCTTGTTTGCAACTTACTCTGCACTGATTGGAGAAAGCCAAGCAGGAGGGCAGCTTCGGACGAGGATCAAACAGATCCTGGATTGGTGCAAACCAGAATTTGATGGAGTTGTATCCTTTAATTTTAATGCCATATTCTTTGTCAATCTAACATAAGCTGTCCTTCGATATGTTGTTCCACATGATTTCCTGACTTAATTTTAACAACCGCACATTCAGCAGTGGTTTTTGGTATTTTTTGTCCTTGACTTTGCATCAATATAGATTATTTTTGATGAATGCCACAAAGCCAAGAATGCCACATCTACAAAGATGGGCAAAGCAGTTCTTGACCTGCAAAGCAAGCTGCCGCATGCCAGGGTGGTGTATGCCAGTGCCACAGGTAAGCTAACACACAAATAAACATTCTCGGGCAGGAGAAAAAATACAATAGTCGACTTTAAATCATCGATTTCTGTCATGTCTGTTCCAGGTGCCTCTGAGCCAAAGAACATGATTTATATGAGCCGACTAGGAATTTGGGGTGAGGGCACACCCTTCCGAACCTTTGATGACTTCCTGCATTCCATTGAGAAGAGGTTTGTGGGATGAATTTCACTCTGAAGTTTTTATGTTTTTCAATCATGTGGATCTGTATCTTCAAATTACTGGAACATTCCTTACAGTCAGATTGTGGGAACGGCTGTTGACCAATGATTAAGTTATGTTGAATTATTTATTTGTGTACAGAGGTGTCGGGGCCATGGAGATTGTGGCCATGGACATGAAAGTGAGTGGGATGTACATTGCCAGACAGCTGAGCTTCTCTGGGGTGTCTTTCCGCATTGAAGAGATCGGGCTGGACGGTGACTTCAAAGAGGTCTATAATAAAGCTGCCAAACTGGTGAGGAAATTCAGTGACAGCGTCTGCTGTATTTATATGTTCTTATCTTATTTGAGAAAACTGACAAAAATTTAAACTGAGAATTCGCGTCTGGAATCTGTTTCTAGTGGGCCGAGGCGTTGAAAACGTTCATGCAGGCAGCTGATGAGCTGGGCATGGTCAGCAGGAAGTCTCTTTGGGGGCAGTTCTGGTCGTCTCACCAGCGATTCTTCAAATATCTCTGTATCGCTGCCAAGGTCCGCTCCTTGGTGGAGCTGGCCCAGAAAGAGCTGGAGGCCGGAAAGGTGAGCATAGCACACTGTTGAACTTTGAGTGCATAGATTGTATATGTAAGAGTGCTAATTTGAAACATAGTTTAGTCAGTTGTGTGGGGGGTTTCAGTTCTCTGTGAACAAGCTGGTTTGATTTTGCTTTAGTTGTTCAGGAATTCCACATGGATTTTTGTAATATTTTCCATCGTGATTAGCAGAAGTGAGTCCTAGTAGAAGTTTACTTTAGGTAACACGGCTGGGTCATTGATGTGCGTTTGTGTGTTCTCCACTGCAGTGCATCGTTATTGGACTCCAGTCTACTGGAGAATCGCGCACCAGAGAAGTCTTGGATGAAAATGACGGGCATCTGGACAGATTTGTTTCCGCAGCCGAGTAAGAGAGTATTTCGTCTGTTCGCTTCTGTGTTTCTGTGGTGATGGCTACATATGAAAAAAAAAGACTGCCTGTATCTGAGTTGCAGCTCTTTTAAAACTGAATGCCGAGCCATAGGTGATAACTTTGACACTATTTGAAAGAGTGATTTTCTGCTTGCTGAAAACTATAGTCACAGGTGTCTTCTGTTTCGTTTTCTTGATACACCAAGCTGTCAAATAACAAGAAAGTTTCGAGAAGGACTTTGTCATGACTACATATAGTCATACAGGTCATGTGACATTCTTCACCAGTCAAAGCAGACAACCTTTTATTAGCTGCTAATTGACCAATGACTCATTTGTGAAAAAGAAGAAAAGGAAGTTATAAGGACTTGAACTTGGTTGTCCTTAGGTCTGTCACAGCAGACATGCCTTAAAGTCTGAGTGTATTAGTTCACGTTTTCATCTGCCTATCAATACCTGGCACTCATAATTAGGTCAGATCAGGAATACTTGGAATGTCTAATTGCCGCAACAGCCCTAATGTGTTGTGGTTGCTTTGCTGTCAGTTTTAAAGTCTGTTATTCTGCTCTTCTTTGCTCCAGGGGAGTATTCCAGTCTCTTGTAACAAAGCATTTCCCTTCAGAGAAGCAAAGCAGGGAAAAAGCTCCAAGTAACAAGAGAAAACGTAAGTGAATATGAAGATTTAATACAACACTGTAGGATGTTCACCCCTAAATGCTGTCTTTTACAATTATTTCATGTACCAAGTGTTCAGTGGACATTTTTATAGTTTGTGTAGCAGTAAAATTGCTCATGTTGTGATTTATAAGTGTATTTGGTGTATTTAGCCTAGCAGCTGGTACTATTTATTCTCAGTTAAAGACATATTTTTTAATCCTATGTCTATTATTGGCCTCTTTTGTGTCGCTTTTGCTAACTCCAATCTCATGCGGTTTAACTAACAATCAGGGAAACCCAGAGGTCGCCAGCCCAAAGTACCCAAGCACAGTATAGAGAACAACGTTGTGATCAACATCACCGATGACAGCAGTAGTGACTCCGATGGCATAGACACAGACTCCAACTCTTCACCAGACTCCCTGCTAGATAATGACGATGTCATCTTTGTGAACCAGACTAGCTACCAGACAGGTAGGCACCATTTCTTTTTTTTGTCCTTCAGCTTGTGTTGTCAGTAACAGTGATACACTGGAAGGTGCTTGTCATTCAAACAGATGCACATCTACTTGATAGCTGCTACTGTAGCCTCACATACCCTGCTATTTTTTATAACTCAACCAGCAAGGGATATATTGTTAATATCTTCCTCTGATTTGTATTTACAGCCAGAATAGAGGAAATGAAGCAGGACCTCCTCAACAAAATAGCAGAACTGGGAAAAGAACTACCTCTCAACACATTGGATGAGCTCATTGACAAGTTTGGTGGACCAGATAAAGTCTCTGAGGTATGACCCTCAACTACAAGCTAACTAGCAGCATCACCTGTCACCTTGACATTTGCAGCTGATGTATATTAACCCCTTTTCTCTCCAGATGACTGGTCGTAAGGGTCGTGTGGTGCGGCGGCCTGACGGCACCGTGCGTTATGAGTCACGAGCTGAGCAAGGGCTTACGATTGACCACATTAATCTCAAGGAGAAAGATCGCTTCATGAGTGGAGAGAAGGTTAGATATTTTACAGTACAAAAAAATGAATCACTGTTTTCATGACTCAAAGGGCTTGAGATCAGAGTTCACCAAACAGTGAAATGCTTTAAAAACATTGTTCAATAAGACCTTTCTCCACCAATAAACAAAAACCTGTTTCCTGTAGTTGGTGGCCATCATCTCAGAAGCAGCGAGCTCTGGGATTTCCCTGCAGGCAGACAAGAGAGTGAAAAACCAGAGACGCAGGGTTCACATGACCCTGGAGCTGCCTTGGAGCGCAGACAGGGCTATTCAGCAGTTCGGTAAGTCAGGAAATGTAATCTAACAAAGAGGCTTTAAAAGTTAAAGAGGAGTACATGATTAGAAATAAAATAAAAGGGCATTTTTTGTGTTATTAACTTACATAAGGATGTCGGGAACCTTTTTTAGACTGAATTTTTGACCTGTCAGTATAGTCTGTCTGGTTAAGTTTGTGTCAGACTTCACATAATGGCTTGAATAAAGTTTTTCATCAGTGGTTAACTTTGTCAATGACATAAGTCTTTTTTTTTCTGTTGATGAGTGATGTAACCAGTTAAAAGGCTATAAGGCACACTGGACTTATTTTCCTCTTCATCGTAGTTACATCAGCTTTCTATTCCTTAGTTCCTTTTAAATTTACCCCTGTGACAAGCAGCAGCATTGAGGTGAAAGGTTGAAAGAGCTTTAGAAGAAAGAGAAGAAATGTGAAGAAGTGTTTTATGTGTTATTTTCATATTGCGATATTCAAATTGAGACAAATGTCTCGCTGAAGGTTTGTTGGTAGATAGAAGCTGTGGTTTCTTTCAGTTACTCTACTTGTGTGGGCTGAACATTTGACCTTTAAAGGTGTTACAGCTGCGAATCTATTTGTAATTAACACCACAAACCCGATCAGTATTTGATTTTTTTATATACGTAAATGCCAAAGCAGAGCACTAAACTGAATAAGGTCATCAATTTTCTGCTTAAACCACCTCAGTGATTCTTCAGGCGGACTAAGTTTCTCATACCAAGAAGCTTAGTCTGACACTTACATATACACACACATACTGTACAAACACAGACATGCTTATTTACTCATAAGAGGTTCTATGGAAGTTGAAGGGACTTCCTTAGAACAATCTTGTGTAAAGAGTTTTTGTTTTCATTTTTAGGTGGGAGGATCTGAGTGTCAAGATCAGATTTCAGTCATATGACTGGAGATCTTATCATCTCACCAATAATGTCCTCTTCATACTTTTCAGTTTCTAATTTATTGTTTCTAATCGCACCTCACTAGTGTACTGTACTAACATATAACTTGTGTGTGTGTTATTTTATTTACATTTATGGGTGTTTCATAGTTAGTTGAGATTGGCACAGCCTGTAACATAAAAATGAGCTGTTGTAAACCAAACGTCATCACAAAAATGTACAATACCTGATTTCTCCTACACATAGCAACATATCTTGCTTGTTTTATTTATCTGTATAAAGGTTTTACAGGATGTTCATTAGCAGTACAACGCTTATCTGTAAAGTTAAAGATTTGAGATTGAAGGATTTAACAGTCAGACAGTAGTCTTAATATCTTTAAATGTTTTGCATGTACAAAAAATGTCTTATTGCTATTTTATTCTCATCGTTCCAGGTCGGACTCATCGGTCCAATCAGGTGACAGCCCCTGAGTACATCTTTCTCATCTCAGAGTTGGCTGGGGAGAGACGTTTTGCCTCCATTGTGGCTAAGAGACTAGAGAGTCTGGTAAATATGAACAGTCTTTCAGTTGTGTGTGGGTTGGTGTTGCATTTGCTGTTGTTATTTTGCACAATTATCTTGAAGTGTCTCTCAGGGGGAAATAGCTGTTTATATGTTGTTGTCTTATGGAGTGTGAGAAGAACTGTTTCAGTGTAAACAGAGACGATCTGAGTTATGTGTTTATCGATCGGAGTGCTCCGGGCTGTTCGTGACTCCGCCGTTCATTTCTTAAACCTGCCCTCACCCTCTGTCCTTCCTGTTGTGTGGGATACTCCCTAGTCTTAAAGCGCTCCATAGTCTTCTTTATTGTTGGTTCCCTTGATGTTATATCAACTTTTCTCCACAAACCTCAAGAGATTCTGGGTCTTTCCCTTCTCCAGCTCAGTAACGGAAAACTGAACAAGCAGAAAAAGCAAAAAGAGGTTGTCTGGATAATTTATAAGTGTAGCTATTTTCCGTAATTATCGATGCATTTCTGCACTAGCAGCCATTTATTTCCATAGTGACACAGCATGACAGTTCTTTTGGGAAAAGGGCAGAGAGGGTGTAGGGGATGGTGGTTACAGGAAGTCATTCCTGCATTTGCCAGCTATGTGTGGTAAATCTGTATCAAGAATATGGCACGTGGTCTGCCTGCCTGCTTGAACTTGATACAGCTCCAGTGCACACATTTCAGTCGAACTGAACAGCTGAACACCTTTGCAACAGTCTGACTCCAGATCAGCAGTCAAATCATATTTGGCTAAAACATTCATTTGTTTTGGTATCTTAAGGTTTTTGTCTGTGTGAGCAGAGCTAGCAGCTGGCTTTAAGACTGATCCACTGTTGACTTTGTCTAAATTTTCTGTTGACTTTGTTGCCTACTTCCATCACACGTTGGACTCACTGCACACTCGGTCTCTTTGCAAAATGTTGTTTGAAGATTAACTGAACCACAATATCATGTCAGCACGTTGCACATAGAAAACGTTTGTTTTCACACCTGAACCTCGTGGGTTTCCTTTGACACGTTTGGGCCAAGAGCGGGCTCTGCATCCTCGTGCATTTACACTAGTGTGTGTGTGCGTGTGTCCTTATTTCAGTGTTTTTGGGGTTTGTTTGGGTTTTTTTCCTCCGTGTTATATGCTCCACACCCATCACTGGTGCATTGTAGAATCACCTTTTAACTATATATTAACTGAATTGATGGATATGTCAGATAAGCAACAACTGGGTATTTTTATAGTTGTTGTTTTTGGGGTTTTTTTTTAATTTTTCAGGTTACTACAGCAGCTGAGCTTTGAAATCAGACATTTCTGGCTTAAAACACTATAAATCCAGAGTAAATTGAAATTGCAAGGCATTATTTTCCAATATTATTTCTGCACAGTAGAATTGCACTAAACAGTGAAGACAGATTTCATAACTTCCTCTGACAGTTTCACACCAGCAGCACCGACTCTGGTTCTGTTAGCGTGACTGCTGATGATGTAAATGTAATATTTTAGTAATAGTAATAATAGTATATTGATTTGATAGTAATACTGTTTGTAATCCACTGTGCAGGGTGCATTAACCCATGGAGACAGAAGAGCCACAGAAACCAGAGACCTGAGCAGATACAACTTTGAGAACAAGGTATGCAAACCTAAGAAGCTTTTAAAATTGTACCCAACCTTTGTATCGAAAATGTTTTGTGCTCTTAATTTGAGGTGTATGGAGTTTGTCTTGCTTTTAGCATTTTATAGCATATTTTATGTAAACACTTAATCTGCAGTGCTTAAAAAGCCTTATGAGATCATCTGTCTTTACTAATTTCACCTTACTTCTTTTTTGCAGTACGGTACCAAGGCTCTGGATAAAATTACCAAAGCAATTGTTGGCTTCATAGATAACAAGGTGCCCCCTCCCAAAGGCTACCCAGGGGGTGATGCCATGTTCTTCAGAGGTATGTTCATATTTTGGTTCAGTGTAAGCAGAGAATATCATCAGCAAATGAAAGTTTAGTGCAGCTGTAGAAAAACGGTTCTGTTTTTTGTTTTTCACTTCCAGACATGAAAGCTGGAATGGTTGATGTTGGGATTTTATGTAAGGAGCCCCGCATTGGAAACAACAATGAGAAAGGTAGAGTATACGGACAGATTTCTTTCTCTGTATTTGGTATTTGAGATGAATAAACATAATTTGAAGTCAATTGCTTGTTTGTTTTTCTCAGACTGCAGCATTACAAAGTTCCTAAATCGCATCCTGGGTCTGGAGGTCCACAAACAGAACCATCTCTTCCAATACTTCACTGACAACTTTGACTATCTCATAGAGAAGGATAAAAAGGAGGGCAAATATGACATGGGAATCCTAGGTATGGAGATCAAGTGTAACTCTAAAATAGAAGGATGTCAATGCATTCATTCAGCAGCTGCAAATGTTCATCACTTTCTTCTACTCTGTCGCTGACAGACCTTGCCCCAGGTAACGATGAGATTTATGAGGAGACACAGGAAACTTTCTTGACGGCTGGAAATCCTCAGGATGGCCAGGTTGTTCTGTATAAGGTAGGCTTGCATAACTTGATTTCAGGTCTATAAGTATACATTTCTTTGTAGTAGAGCCTATGCAATGTTAAATGTGTTGATGACAGTGAAGTTGCATACAGCAGGATTAGAAAAGTATTTACTTCCTGCAGATAACCACAGCAGTACAGTGGCTTATTTGTGAACGGCCAGGCAGAAGTGTTGTTTGATATGGCATTATCAGTAACATATTCAAAACAGTGATGTGCGTGCAGCATCTGCAAAGTAACAGCAAACTATATAAAACATGTAAACTATGACTACACAGGAGAAGGCCTAGCTATGTAATATATATTAGGCCTATGTTAGGTAGTGTTGCCCACAATGGCAATGCTATGCTATGCTACTTATCTTTTTGATGCTCTTGCAATTTAATGATAATTTATTGTATGTATTGATATCAAAGTTTCACCCATAGAGCACCAGACCTTACAATTTTTCAAATAATATTATTAAATTGCAAACACAGAGTACATTATAAATATCACTGAGAGTCAGTTCATTTAGATTTTTTTTGACAATACTTGAACGGGTACAATTAAATAAGTTCCTCATTATGTGCAGTCCCCCAGGTAACTCAAGCAACTACATCTGTAGTTAAGAGCTTGGATTGATGTCATAGTGCCAGCGGTAAGACTGTGATCACGCAGGTTTGGCCCTGGAGCTATGGAGCCTATGTAGATACTAGCAGGTGGCACAGGATAATTACTGGTATCCTCTGCTTTTAGCTTTTGGCTACAGGCTAACCTACAGTTGATGTTTCAAAGTTGGCAGCCACTCAGGACTCCTGCACAAGAAAACCAGTTTACCCAGTATAAAGGGCGTATTTCATACATACATTAAAGTGGTTGTATTTTCTCATGTATTTATAGATATTAATAGTTTCTGAAGTCATACCAGCAGTGTGTAGGTGTGGGGCAGTTTGACTCCCTCTCTTTCACAGCACATGCTTTAGACTCTGATCTTTTTCCTCCTACAGATCAGTGTGGACAGGGGCATGCCCTGGGATGAGGCCTACAAGAAATCACTGAACCTCAGCGGCCATGATGAGGGATTCTACCTGTCTATGAAGGTGAGTTCACGTTATGATAAACAGTTTAACTAACTTTGTCTCTCTGACAGTGCAAAAAAAAAAAAAACACTCTATGTGGCCTCTGTTCACAGCTTCGAGGTAACTATCCATGTGTGCTGCTAGCTGAGCAAGGAAGAGGGAAGAACTTTGTGGTCTATAAGCCCAACATCGGCAAGCAGACTCACCCTGAGAGTCTGGAAAAACTGCACCAAAAGTACAGGAAGGTAAGAGCTTCAGTCTATTAGTTCTGTCTTTGTATTGGTTTTGTGTTACATTTGAGTCTTTTGATTTTTTTCCCCCCTCAATTTGGCATTAAAATGCATATTTTTTCATTTCTGAAAATGGGGAACATTGGGAAAACACAAAGTCAGACATTTTCTGGACTAAGTGTTCCTCTGTCATTGCTCCGGGTGTATATTTATATATATTCGGTCTCTGCTGCCACCTTGTGGACATTTAGGTGTGCTGACCAGATATGGCTTAATGCTCTCCAAAGACAAAGTGTGGCAACATTTTACAGACTTAAAACCTTTAATGTTATAAATTAATAGTAAATTTAAAGAGTGAGCTCTTATTTTCTTTACAGTTCTGTTGTTTATTAAGGCTATAGCTGTTTCCCTTCCCTGCTTTAAAACTGCTAATCATTGACCTTTCACCACAAGCCCATTGAAAATAACTTGTTTTTCCCCTTTGACACAATTATTGTTTTAAATGAGAAAAGGGTGTAGTTTGTGCTTTGGTTTGAACTTGAAAATCTCACTTCTGCATTGGTAAAAATATGTAATGAGTGACTACTTGGCTGACTTTTAGGCTTTTGCATTTCTTCCTTTTTTTAGGTGACCCCTGAGGAAGCCAGGGACTGCTGGGAGAACCAGTTCACCTTCTCCTTCAAGAAATGCAGTCACGCTAACTGGTAAGCAGGAATCCACAATGTCCCTTAGGATTAATGAATCCTATCAGGCTGGTAATTATTAGGATTCAGTCAATGGTTTTTAAATCAAATGCCATTCCCAAAAGCTAGCCACGAAGAAATTACCTCCAAATCTCACATCTTGTACCTTAGCTTGCCATACAGTCACACTAAAAGAGTGATTTATGATGTGTTTTCACCATTTCTTCTTTGCTCTCTCTGCAGGAATGGGAAGTGTAAGAAAATTGAGGAAGGCCAGGAGTGTCTGCAGGGCATGCGCCTCCGTCAGTATCACATGCTGTGTGGAGCTCTGTTACGAGTGTGGAAGCGCGTCTCTGATGTGGTGTCTGACATCACCAACAGCAGCATCCTGCAGATTGTCCGCCTTAAAACAAAGCAGCATAACAAACAAGTCGGTTAGTATCTCTGACTGCCTGAAGTGAAGTGCAGTTTGAGGACAGCTTCTTCACTGTTCTTTAAATCCCTAAACATCTAGCTCAGAATTTAAAATGTGAATTTTATTGACCCCGATGTTGTTTTGATGGTAAGATGTGGTGCTGCTGTCCAAGTGCTGACACATCATTATCTAAAATTGAGGAAATGAAAAAGTTCCATATTTTCCTTATTCGTTTCCGCTGAGCTCCTGTGCGCATTACGTTAACACTGACCCCCACAGGACGTGTTGCAATTCACCTCAAGATCCATGAAAACACACTCGTGATTATTGTCTCTCTACACCGCACATATATCAGAAAAAGAAATATAAAGCTCGTAGGCTGTCGATATTACATTTTTATAATCTTCCTTTTTCTGGCATGCACACTGTTTCCTGCTGTCTCTGGTGGTAGCGCTATTCGGTGAGTGCGTGTGCACATGTGCTGGTTTAGTTTCTAAGTTGTTCCTGTCTGATTTTTCTTATTTGGCCATTCATTTGAAGAAAATGAATAGCATGACGTTATAATCAGCTGCCTGTGTCATGTCACATATGGACTTGGACTGCAGCTGGAAGTTTTTGTTCTGCTCTGCAACCGTGGCAAGCTCAGCCTACTAGCAGATGCAGTAGTTCTCTCTCTGCTGCAGCCTTTCTGCTTAGTAGTGTGGAAGCAATGAATGCACATTAAAGTACACATTACCTTTATGCTGTCTTATTTACTATACTTAGTGATGCATGTGCTGTGATATCCAGCCATCTGACTTCTCAACCATCCAGGTGACAGTGGGCATAAGAGTCGTCAGTCAATCACAGGACTGATGCATAGAGATGGACAATCATTCTCATTAATTAATACAGATTAATTAATGTCCTGTTGTTATTAGGGCTGGGCCATATCATACCGTTCACGGTAATACGGTATAATGTTGGGCAACGATAAGAAAATGAAATATCGCGATAGATTATGGGTAAAACGCACATGCACAGTGCCTTTGTTTTTATACGCACATGGCAGAAAAAGCATGGCGGCGACGGAGAATGAGAAGGACGAAAGCGGATCTTTGAATGAAACGGATGAACCAGAATTGTTTTGTAAAAATGCTGCAACTTCAGTGGTTTGGAACTGGTTTAGCTTACGTCCGTCAGATACACAACAAAGCACTATTTTTGGTAGAACATGCTAGCGGGCCGTTGTTATTACCGTGTTTTTTGGAAAATACGGCACACTTAAAATCAATCCTTTGATTTTTCTGAAAATCGACAGTGCCCCTTATAATCCCGTGTGCCTTATGTATGAATTCTGGTTGTGTTTCCTGACCTCGAAACAATTTTATGTTTACACGGCGCTCGAAACTGTCAAATGTTTTAGTACGACTTTGCTAAGCTATGAACCCGCACCGCTTGATGGATTGTTGGAGCATTACGGCTATCGTAGGCAGGCGCCTCGTGGAGTGATACGTACTGCGCTTCAACATAACATTACCGTATTTTGTGTGTATAACCTCTTTTAAAGTTTTGTGGATATTATACATGGTTATGCTGAGGATATGTCGGCCAATTTCCACTGGAAATGCCTTTTGGTTAAACTGTCAGCAAGGAATTTGCACTGTAAAATTTTTATATAACTTTAATGCACATAAAAACAGCTGCTTGTTTAAGTGAAAATACATAGATTTTTTTTTTTTTTGCACTAATAAAGTTGTGGAGTTGCAAAGTATTTTGTCTAGTGTCAATTATATCGTCAGTTATATCATTATCGCAAATTTTCAAATGTATATCGTGATAAATATTTTTGGTCATATCGCCCTGCTCTAGTTGTTATCGTAAATCTGATAAAAGATTGAGGATTTATCTTACTGATAACTGTGTCATCTCTCTCAGGTATCAAGATCCCAGAGAACTGCGTTCCTCGCGTACGGGACGAGCTGCTGCAGATGGATGACGAGGTGAAGAAGAGGCGAAAAGAGAAAGAGCAGGCTGCTGAGAATGAGCGCAAGCGCAAGCTTGAGTACCTGCAGGGGCACAGACAGCTCGTGGAAACTCTAACCAACCACAAAACCATGCATACTCAGTCCCTCACTCAGCCTTTCGACCCAAGATTCCCACTCCAACACAGAATGCATCCCCAAGCCCAGCCCACCTTACCACACCTCAGTTCAGCCCTCTTGGCCTTACCGATAAATTCTAGCCAAACCCAGCAAAGGACCCATAACAGCTGGTCCAACAATCCGAGTTCCTTCTCCAACACCAACCAGAGCTCTCTGAACAGCTCAGTTAGCCTCAATCTCTCACCGTTTTACTCACCCGCCTACATGAACACTTTTCAACAAACGAAGAACCTGCCTCCTTCACTCCATCAGACCAAGCAGCCTTCCAGTTTGTCTTCCAAAAGTCCTTTCGACGATATCTTAGACCTTACCATGAGCTCTCCGTCTCCCTCTCCAGACACCACAGAGGGCGGACTCAATCTGGACACTCTGACTAGCAACTCTACAGCGTTTGCAGAGGATTTTAATCTAGAGTCTCTCATCTCTCAGACTGCACCAAACGTCCAGCATGCTGCGCAAGTACAGCTGCCTCTCATGCTGCAGCAGCCTCTTCAGGCCTCGCAGCAGCAGCAACAGCAGCAGCAGAACCACAACTTGCTGGCCAATAACCACCATGACTTATTAGATTATTTTGAAATATCCCTTTCCCCTCAGATGACCACACAGAAAGCCAGCCCTTCGTCTTCTACCTCCTCCTGCTCTTCCTCCACGTCCTCCACGTCTTCTGTGTCAAACAACATGGGTTCTCTCTTCTCCAACCCGTCGCCCAACTCTTTGTTTTCCAGCTCTTCCTCTCACTTCCCCCCAGCCTATCTCCTCGCTTCATCAGACTCTGGTCCCTTACCCAACGGCAACTGCAGCTCCGGCGCTCTTGACGTCCGCGAGGCTTTGAACAGCATGCTACAGGCCGGACCGGACCGCAAATCTGTCATTCAGTACAGGCCGCAAGAGTGAGAGCTCAACGGGCTCATCTGGACTTTATCTTTAGTTTTTTTCTTGTTGTTTTGTTTTTGTTATGTCTCTTAGAGCAGATGGCGTCTTGTTTGCTGCTGTCTTTGATCGCAACCTTGGACCTACTCCCTCTCCCCTCAGGGCCTATAGTCAAGTCACTGCCTGTCCTGCGTTGGGCTCACCCTTCTCTTTATCCATGTGTAGCGTTCACTTGCTTTAGGCTGTTGAGGTAACGACGGGCTCGATCAATATTCGATTTCTGCACCAAAGTGTGTCCTCCACGGTAAAAGGCAGCTGTTTAAAAATAAAAGGAGATGGGTGGGGGGGAGGATGGGGCAAAAGAGGACGGGATAACTTTATTTTATCGAACATACGAGCTGTTGAGGTGTGGAAATCTCTAATAAACCTCCTGCTGCTGATTTTTCTCGAGGTATGATTGGTGAGTTGCTGGAAGCTCTAAATGCCTTTCACTAGTTAAAACCGCATCTTTAAACTTTGCTTTACTGTTACTACATTCACGGCTGTATGCAAGGCTTTGGTTTGAGTGAAACACGAGGTAGTCGAACTGGAAGACGCATGAAATCTTTTAGCTGATTAGCCATGAAATGCCTCAGATTTCCTTTTCTTTTTTTTTTCCTTTCCCTTCTACGCACTCCCTCTTGTTTGTCTCCCTGCTTGTATGAACACTAGTGTGAGGAAAAAAGGGAGAGGATGAGAAGCCTGCTGTTGCAAACAGTGCCTTTGGAAAAAGTCTTTAAATGCAGTCTTTAAAATCCATGTAGCCTAATGTATAGATTTGTACTCTTGAGCGTTGGTTTCGATTTTAATTTAATACGGTGTATTTGTATGAAACTTTTGGGGCCCATGGTGAGTCAGGCAGTCGTCGTTTGTGTTACACTATGCTGGTGTTGGGTTTCAGGAAGGCGCCTCCTTTGAGCCTGCATGTGCTTGTGTGATTGTCTGTGTAGCTGTCCACAAACGTTTATCTACACCCCTTTCTCCCCTTTTAATTTCACGTGACGCCCATTTTTGTTTTGGAAATCCTCAGGAAAATCTTGTGTATTTTTTTTTTTATCTTTCTGTGTGGATGTGTCATTTTTTGACCAACACTGATACCCGAACCTGTTCACGGTCTCTAATTCTAAAGGATCACAAAGAATTTCTATTGTTCTGAAAAGTAAGCGCCCCCGTCTCTTTGCTAGTATCAGAGTAATTTATTGTTTCCTCTTGAGCACTGTTTTTCACATGAATTCAACCTATACTAAAAAATAAAACATCCAGTTTCCATTTGAGGCTCTAGAAAGCTTTTGAAAGATGCGTGTACATGTGTATGATAGTACATATTTAAAAACCTGTGAGGTCTGGCCATGTTTGTGTGATGCACTGTAGTTGGTTTGTGACAAAATGCGCGGAGGAGTTAAAGTGATCAAAAAGCAATAAAAACCATGTTATATGTTCGTTATGAAACAAACGCTTCAGTACTGTTTACGCTCAACAGGCAAAGCTTTTTGGTTACCTTTGCATGGTGTGAATCGTCTTTATTTCTATTATGCTTTGAAATATTTTAGTTAAATACATTTTAAATTCATTGTTATTAAAAAAAAAGTTATTTGTTATTTATATTTAAGGGATATTTAGATTTTAGATACATTATCTTGCTTATTGTAATAGTTAAGGACATGTTTGGTCAGGGAAGTTACTCATTTTCAAGATTGCTATAAAACAAATTCTATTATTACCTGCCACCAAATAACATTGCACTGTTCTACTGCTGTACAGCGTCTGGATTTATTTCTGCTCGTTTTACTTTTGCTTTTCTCAAACGCAATTGTTTCTCCCACTCGTAGAGCTTTTTTTCTCTTGTCAGGCCTTCAGTTTGCAGAGAGATACCAAAGTATTCCACAGGCACCCCTAAAGTTACTGGCTCTAAGATATCAGACATTTATCAATCTCAGGAAGAAACCTACAGGAGGCGTAACGTCGGGGCGTTAGCAGAAATATATCAGTTCCCCTTTTAAGGATGATGAAACTAATGAGTATTTGTGCTATTTTTTCTTAACTCTGTGCTGTGACTCTTGCTGTATTTATGTTTTAGACTTAATGTGATGGGTTTGTTGTTTGTCCTTGTGAAAATGTCAGTGGTTCTAAATATTTATGCCTTCTTAGGGCAAAGATCAAAGGCTGTTTCTTTTAAGAAACATTATTTTTCTGTGGACAGTTTTGTTTTTTTCTTCGAACCATGTTAACGCTGACCCGTTCTCCCGTCGACTCACACCTGGGTTATACTAAAACGTGCAATTAATCTGTCCAAGCCTTCGCCCCTCCCCGCTTCTGTGTTTAGGGTTTAGGATGTCTGATTCGTTGTTTTTTTCTGTGTGCAGAATAATACTGCAGCTGCCCTTCGTTTCACTTTTAATAATATTCGTCAGGCACATTCCCAGACACCAGTCTGCAAACGTTTTGCCTTTGATTTTGTTTTTATAGTCACGGAAATAAAGCTTTATGCATTTGAGGGATATGGACAGCAGTTTTTAGGAAAAATAATTCTTCATTCGTTTAGTTAGGCCTATAATCATTTTTATCATTTTGCACTAAGAATGGCATAATCAAGTTACTGTTCTCCTGTTGGTTTTGATTGAGCGTAGCACGCTTGATGTATTTCTGTTCTTCAGTGGATTGCTCTGTGTATACTTTAACCATCTTTCTTGTTTCTCCCACCAGTTGCATATATATAAATGTTATCACCTTCAAATAATTTATTGCTAACAAAACACAAAATGAAACAAAAAAAACATGCTACTGATTGTATGTATTTTTAAACAAAGCCTATTTTTCCTGTAAAAACAAAACTGTGTTCAGCACTTTTATTCTGGGTTGTGCTTTTGTTTTCTATATATTTATAATTTAGATCCAAATGTATATATTGTAAAATTTGTGCCTTTCAACTAATTCTTAAAAAAAAAATAAAAGTTTTCTACTTATTAAAGGAAGGACGATATAAAATTGCGGTCTTTGAAAACAGATTAAAAACTTGAAGATTGCTCAAACTGAGTCTCGTTTGTTCATTCGGTTTGTCGCCCGCGGGCTTGTTGTACAGTTTTTGCGCGGCATTGCTCCCCATTTTAAAAAAAGGGAGCAGATTAACTCTGCAAATGTTTGTGTTCAGCAGGGGACCCCCGGCCCCCACTTTTCACTAAATATTAATATGATATTTTCTGCCAGTGGTGTGCAGCGGTATCATCAAACACGAGAATAATCGGATAAATGAATCACAACACACCAGATAACAGAGCCTCTGTGTAAACACACCTGGTATTTCTTTCTGGGGAGAAATAGAGCACACTGTCTACTTTAAGCACCTTCTAATAAAACACATTTGTTGCCACGGGGAGGGCTGGTCTTAAAATGTGCAGGCCAAGGTTGCAATAATAGACTAAACTACAACTGGGGAAAGTGTATTATTGAAATCTTGCTCTGAAAGAATTGAAGGAAACGCTTGATCATCACAGTATCCTGCAAACTCAGCCCAACAGTGGGCAGTTTAGTTTCAGTCATTCAGTGTGTGTGATCAAACTTTCAAAACGAGCAGCATTTTGTATTTGTTTTTAATTATTTATTCCTACACAGCTTTCATAAAAACATTGATCGCATTTTAAAAAGCAGCACCTTCTGGACTCTTCCAATGCGTCCCCTGACAAAGGTCGATATTGTAACGAGAAACAACTGAAATAGAAAATTTCTAAAGAAGAAAAACTAAACTGAAACGAGCAATCACACCCTGGAAAGCAACTGAAACTCGATGGAACTCAAAAGAAAGACTCGAAACCAAAAGTAAATTTGAATGACACATAAAGATTCAGAATCTTTTGTCAAATTTATGCTTCGTGTAAAAACAAAATCGCGTTTCGCACATCCACCAGTCAGCAGTGTTAATACTATAAACACAAAAATCACAAATGCGGTCAAATACAGGTGATTACATAAAAGATGGCTAACTGGAGCTTATGAGCAGGGGCCCAAACATCAAAAAATTTATAAAGCAAATACATATAATTGCCAGACACTTCCACACTAATCTATCATTAAATATCCCCAAATTACCCCAGGAATCCTAACATAACAATAACACTGATCCAATGCAGCACATAGACGTCACACTATAAACCTCATATAGACAGTTGCAAGTTTTGAAACATCTTTGCCATACAGGGTTCAAAATACTTGAGTACTTTTTAAACCTAACTAAAGAAGATACACTAAAAGGAAATAAGTGTTTGAAAAAAACTACACAAAACAGGACTTCTCAGGTTTCACAGTCGAGTAGTCCTTCATTGATACTTTTGCATCTCTGCCCAGACCGAAGAAGCCATGAGAGCGGTGAGTGGAGTCCTTTAAACTCGTGGTTCAGCTGAAGATGTAGCAGCGAGGCACCGATGACCTTCTCTTCTCAGTTCAGGCCTTTCCCCCTGTAAGGAAGTAGGAACGCTCCCAGCTGGGCCTGTGTCCATATGTTCACGGCTGGGATGGAGAAAGCCACCAGCTCCACCTGAGAGCCCCAGATGGTCACTTGGAACCAGACCTCCTGAAGTCAGCTTTCTTGGTATTATCGGTGTCTAGGGCCACACCTGGGTGTCAGCTGCTCCATCTCTTTTCAGTGAGCTTACATCTGCGGTATCTTTGGAAAACTTTATGATGTCATTAGTACTGACAGTATCAGAACAGTCACATGTTAGTGCAGACAATGAGGTGCTCGGCACACACCCTTGCGGTGAACCAGATTGTACCTGCTGACTGCCTGTTGTTTATCTGAACACAGTTCGGCTTTATTATTCAAGTCCATGCAGTGATTTCCACGCCAACGCATTCAATATGAACTTCCCCCTTTAAGAAGCTCCAGGGGAAATACAGTTTCAGGAAGTAAACTGGTGCCCATAAAATACATTTTATTGGTTTTCTCAGATCAACTTTAAACTTCAGATCAATTTTTTTTTTTTAAAATTTGATTTCCTGCACCCGAAAAAATTTAAACCGAGATTAAGACGGTGACTAACATAATTGCGTAAAGCACACGCCCAAAGCAAACAGGGAGGTTTCACTTCCTGACAGACGCTGCCCCCGACGTGATGACGTTTTTCACCTGTACGTTGAACAGTTAACGCCACGCCTCCTGCTTACACCTGTTTTCAGGAAGATTTGTAGGAGAAACTTTTAGAAGTAGCGTTACAGCCAAGGCGGGTAGGTGAGACCTTAACGAGGACTACTGTTTATTTGGACGAAAGCGGTCTGAGAGTGAAGGAAGAAGCCTTGAAGCTACGAAGAGCACGTTTACAGGTGAGTTAGCGTCGTTTCTGTCGGTGTTTCCTTCCTCCTGCACAGGTAATCAAACCATCTCAGCTTAGCCTGTGGAGTGAAAGGTGAAGCTGAAGGATCGTGTGTGACATAACTCTGAATCAAAAAAGTTTTTTTTCTGTGGTTTTTCTCAGTTTAGGTGAAGTTAGTCGGATGTTTACAGGCCTGAAAGCTTTGTCGCTGCTTGACTGCAGTCCTCACAGGCCTGTGTGACAGCTGTGGTTTTCTTCTTAGTCATTTTGTGTGTTTTTGTTGGAGTTCCCCCACAGTTTAACGTGCTTGCCTTGATTTGTGTGCTTGTCTGTGTTGCTGGGATGCTGACTGTCAGCTGTAAACTCCACTTTCTTATTCCTCACCTTACTGGTTCGGCAACACACAAGTTTCTACCTGTCCGGAACTGGAGTTTCACACTAGTTTCGACTGCATTCCCAACCTGCTGCGTCCTCCTCTCCTCACTCTGCATATTTACACACTCATTGTTTGATTTGGGACTGACACAGTCGCTTATGACTGCTGTTCTCGTAAGTTCCGTACTGCGCATGAGGTGCTTTTAAGATTGTGGCCCGTCCTTTCTGGATTTTTAAAAGTTAATCCAGGTTTTAAGGTTTCTGTCATCGCAGCTGTAGCTTAGTTCTGCTGATTTTATTCCAGTAAAATAAATACATGTGTGGCGTCCATTTCCCAGAATGTGGACGTGTACACTTAGATATATTAACCCTCAAGTAATGCAGATTTTATCAGCTAAAATAGCAGAGTGTGCTCATTTATGATCACACTATTTTTGAACAGAGAAACACCCACAGGCATCTGACAACAATGGCCGCAACATCCCTGATGCAGCATTAAAAGAGCTGCATCAGGGCTGAATATACAAATGTAAGGAACACACTGCGTATTCGTTTTTCCCATTGAGAAAGTGCTGGTACATTATCCCAGATATATCAGATATGTGGAGTTTCTTATAGTAAAGAAGTCTCAGTCTCTCCAGATGTGATGGTGTTTGCTGTAGTGTTTTCACTGCTGTAGTGTTAACTTTTTGGCAGTCATCATTCAAACAGGGTTTCACTCTTCATCAAAGAGGTGCTCACTCCAAGGATGGCTGTAAATGTGTCTGGCTCCCAGCTCTTTGAAAAATACTGGGGTACTTTGTGGTACTGCTTGAGTTTGTCAGACGTTATCTATTACCCATTTTCTAAACTTGTGTGTACAAGAAACATGACATTTCTTACAAACCAAAACTTTTTTCTTTCTTACGACAGAAAAAAAATGCAAATAAAAACTAAAGGTTGGATACCAGATAAGGTGTGTAACTTTAACAACAATTATTATTATTATTATTATTATAATTATTATAAAGATATTACAATATCCAACAAAGAATTGAACTAGAGGTCATATATCTCAGTTTCTTGGTTTCTCTTCTCCGGCTGCCTATAAAATCTAGAGTTTGAATTCAAAATCCTCCTTATTTAAAAAATAAAAGTACTGAATGATGAGAATATCGTAATAGTATCAGAACCTCTCCAGTTTACTCTCACAATGCTGACTTGCTTGGCATTCCTAGAATTTCCAAAATTAGAATTGGAGGCGGAGCCTTTAGCTTTCAGGCAAGTCTCCAGTTTGGATTCGGGAGACGGATACTTTCTCTACTTTTGTAAATGTTGCTTTTTGAGAACCTTTATCATGAGCTGACCCTGAACCATGCCTTGGTCATGCTCCTTAGGCTACATTTCTTCTCCACTCACCTCTCACTTGCCCATGTGTTTATATGCAGCTACTGCATGTTGTTACCTTTGTCTTCTCTCCCATAGGCTGTTTGTCCTCGCCTCTCGTCTTCTCCTTTTTCCCCTCCCCTTTCTCTCTCAGGAGTTTTCTTCATGTTAAAGATGAATTTTTCCTTCCCGCTGTGATCAAGTGCTTGCTTATAGGTTGTTGTCTGATCTTTACCTCACAATATAAAGCATCTTGAAGTGACTGCTGTGACACTTTATAATAGAAACTTAATTGAACAGTCAGGTTTTGTTTTGCTTCTGGTTAAAACATAAAGTAGCATTTTATTTGTATATGTGTAATATATAAAGTGTGTTTTGTGTAAAAGGGGTTAAAATATCTAGCTCTGAAATATCTGGCATTTTTAACTTTTACAATGAGTTGGAATAACTTGCATCTTGCACTGCTGCCACTGATGTACATAGGTTTAATTTTTTATATACATTTTCTTTTTATATTTCTTAGACATTTTTTATGTTAAGGTGAGAGAGAAACTGTCTTTCTCTTTGTCAGGATGACATGTACAAAGAAATCTGTGAGTCTTTGAATCTTGAATCTAATTGCTAGCAAATATCACTAAAATCAACATGTTTAAATCCTAATTATTTTTTTAAAGATGCCATATTATATAATTCCAGTTCTAAATGACTCTATATTTAAATATAGCTGGGGTCATAAGTGACGCCTCTCAGTCTCGACTTGAAGGTTAAAGAGAAAACGCCTCTTGTAGCATATCTCACTTAACGTGCGAGGTATTATGCAACATCCCATATTGTCATCTCCACCGCCGTCCAGCAGTGCAGAACTTTAGCAGTCGTGCATATAATTCCAGTGATGCCACCAGCATTGCTCACATTTCACATTTTTCCGTCTTTAACGGGAAAACTGAGGGAACTTCCTTTTTTCTTTCCAATTTTGGCTTCCATGATAAAAATCAAGCAGCACAGGCCTCTTCTTCTCTCTCTTTTTCTAAACCGCTTATTCGCCTTGAGCTTGGTTCGAGGAAACTTGCTGAAGCACTTCAATGGATGTTTTCGTTAAATAATCATGACCTCAATAGTTTTTGCTGTGATGGAGCAACCATCCACCATACACGAGTGACCATTTGCATCCTCATGCACAAGGGGCTGAGCATGTGTGGTATAACTCATGTTATGGCGCTGGGATAGCTGTAAAGTGTGTGTTTGCAGTACTACACACAAGACAACACAAGTAAGTCCACTGAGTGTGGAAGCCACAAAGCCCTGGCCTGTGTAATTACAGCCTCTTTGCTGATTGTGTAAACCTCTGGAGTATTTGTTCTGCAAAGCTCTATATTTTACACTAGGAGGCTTTGCTTTTCCACATTCCCCAACGAACTCGTGTTCTGGAGCCTTCTTGCCTCCGTCGGTTGGTGTTTGTTAGTTTGTTTCGATGATGCACCGTTGAAGAATTTTAGTTATGAATTTTAGTTAGGCCTCTGCATTCATAGTGAAACTCAAGCACAACAAGGTGACCTGGAGTCGATAGTCAGTAGTTTGCATATTGAATAGCCAACAGGAGTGGCCTCTCTATGAAAGCAAAACAAATAGAATATCCTGCTGCCGAGCACACTGCAGTCCTCAGCGTGAATGAGTGAATATTCACCTACTATGAATGGTTTCACCTTTGCTACCTGTTTGTTTGTTTTTTAGCAACCGTAGAAGTCTGTTTATTAAGATCAATTAATAATTCACACCTGGTGCTCTCGCTGACCTCATGCCGGCTATTCCACCTGGCTGAACCCAAGTTGGCATCTAACATCTGTTTTGTTTCTCAAGTTTTATAATACAGACACTGATCTGTGGATGAGGGATTTAGGAAGTAATAAGCTGTTGGATAGTGTTTTCTAGTAGCTTCACCTCCTCTTTGTCCCCCTTCCTCCTCAATGATTTGGGTACATGTCACACTGAACACTAAAAAAAAGGGGAAAAAAGGCTACAACACGCCCATGCTGTGGGGCATATGTAAATGTTAACCATGGAACAGAGATAACATCAGGCTCTCTGTTGCCATTTCCTGATCCCGAGAAACGGCCTGTGTAGGCACATCAGGACACTTACACGAAGCTGGAAGATCCATAGTGCTGCAAACACCCCGTCAATTATTAACAGGCCAGTGCTCTCATTCCTCCAATGTAACCATGGCACCGAGCAGACAGAAACTCAGCCGGTAGCCTGGGATCTGCTCCTGCCTTGTGGGAAAGTAAGACGCGCACATACCGCTGACAGCGGGAGCAAGTGGACCTGTTTGACTTTATGAGCCTGTCACGAAGGAAACTATTGGGCAGACGGACCTATGGAGCGATCTTCACATGACTTCTCCATTGGAAGCAGAGGGATGACAGTTGCTACTTTTATTTATTTTTAATTTTTAACTTCTGTTTTTCTTAGTTTTCTTTTTATGGCAAATTAATGTTTGTCGTGAAGAGGCTTGCAGACCTGCATCAGTGACCATGTGTGACTGAGACACAGACACAGGATTATTAACAGATTTGCAGACAGCTGGAGATCTTTGGTGTCTGTGAATGAGTGGGTCAGCACTGTTATCATTATGAAGTTGACCGAGCGACTCAAACGGCTGAAGCACTTGGGCTCTGTGCCTCCGGAGCCTCCGCCACTGCTGGTGGTGCCTGTAAGTGAATGGATAGTAGTTATTTTATTTGTAGTTCCTTTTTCTATTACAGTAACCAAGCAGCTTTACATTAACTTCAGCTTTAAGAGAACTTCACAGGTTACTTCCCCCCAACACACTCTTCCAGCGCTCTCTTAAATATCATGCTCAATTTGAACCCACAGAATTTTATTTTTATTTCTTTATTTATGTTGAACAGTTAGTTGAAAGGTTTTGTTTTACAGTTAAAGAAAAGGTTTGTGAAGTGTTTAAAATCAGCAGAAGTTCTTCATGTCTTGTTCATCAAATGTGTCAAAGTTGTGGAAAATGTATTCTTTATTGAACACACTGACTCAGTGACAGTTCAACTTGGCAAAAAGTACGTGAGTGACTTGTAAAACCTTTGTTTATCTACGTGTGCTCCATAGCAGGCTTTTTCCACAGTTCGGTGTAAGAAGGAATTAATTTTCACATCAAAGAATCTGGGATATATTTATGGAACGGGCCTCGTTTGGTGATCTCAGTAAGGTCAAAGATTCTGAACATTAAAGCATCGTTTCTCTTCTATTTTTAATCCCTCTGTCACTGATTTCCTTGTGACACAGTTTTGTTTTGTTTTTTTGCTCCTTCACCGAGCCCACACCCGAAGGTATAAAAAGAAGGCCTGAACCCTGAGGCTCCTTCTGTTATGCTTCACAGTTTGGAGGGGAAAAAAGCTGCTCTTTATTAGGGCTTTTCTTGTAGTGGACAAACTGAAGATTGGTTCTGATGTGCTTTTATCGTTGCGCTCTCTTTCGCCTCTTTCAGAAGTACGCGCCATGCTCTTGGTATGATCTTCTCAGGAAGCGTACTCCTAAGGGACCTCCTTAAATTTCTTCCTGTTTTATTGTGGACGGATTAACATGGAGACGGTTAGAAATGTAGATAGCCACCATCATATCATACGAATCTATGATTCTTCCCATACAACCCTGTGAAAGTTGCTGTGATAGAGCCATAACTGACAGAACAGACTTGTCATGTCATTGTTTATTTTTATTTATGAGGACGAGCCCTTTTTGTAACACACATTTACAATTTTGTGTCTTAATTGGAACGTCTGACCACAAGTAGCTTTTAGAGACATATTTTTTCCCCCTTTAACTGTTTGTATTTAGACCTTTTCTTATAATTAGTTTAAACCTCTTAAGCTCTTTTGATATTGAAACTAAGCCTAAACCTTACAGTAGTATTAATATATTTTAGTCTCAGTCGTCCACCAGCGTCTAAAATAATTTGTGAAAAGAGAATGGGAAGATTGTTTGTTCATGGATCCAGAGATATGACGTGTTGAAGGAGGCATGTCTAAAAGTTTGCATAAAATATGCAGAGATTTGAATTGCAAAATTCTACTGAAACAAGGTTTTTCCCACATGGAGGAATTACTTTTGTTAGGGAAAATGTTCTAAAACACTTCTTCAGTAAAGACTCAGAGAAGAGAAAACACAGAACTTCTTGCTAGCAAGGGCAGCCTCCACTCTAAGAGACTCCAGTGAGAGAACTGCCCTGGTCTTTATTTATACTCCATTGAGCGTATGTGTGTGTGTGTGTGTGTGTGTGTGTGTGTGTGTGTGTGTGTGTGTGTTGATCAAAGGGTCATATACATGAAAGAACAAAAGGTACATCCTTGGTCATAAAGAGGGTAGTCTCCCCCACCCTAGATGGCACGGTGAGGAAGTCCAGCAGTTAAAGCACTTAGACTAAAACAGACATAGCTACGTTAAAACAATAAAACAAGGTACGACCTCTCCCACGCTCCCAGGATGTGGGGGTGAACCAAGCCTTTGCTAGAAAAAACACTCACTACACAATTGATATATGCCTCTAAGTACATGGTTGAAATTCTCCTAATACAAATAACTACATGCAGCTATCTACCATATGCAAACTTATATCACTAAAAGATTATACTGACTACTAAATACAATTTTCCATTGACAACTTTTTTTTTTTTACTGCCCCGAGAAGTGGTTTGTGAAAACAAACAAACGCTTTCTTAATTTCAGTCTAATTTATTTAACCATAATTGATATTTTAGATGAAATAATAGACTGATTTCAATTACTGTATGTGTAATAACATTAACAGTCATGTGAACACACCCTTAAAAACTCCCGACCAATCAGTGACTGTCTGTTATTTAGAGCTAAATGATATTTTTCTGCCTTGAAATGAAAAAACTTTGAGCTTTCTAGTTCTTAGCCTGAATGTTCAAAGCTATACAAAAACGCAAGGGAGTGATTCCCCTACCTGACATATTTAAGGTGCTTCCCAGTTTTCCACAGTTCTGGTGGGTTTAAAAGGGTAGATCCACCTTAAAAGCCATGTTTATTTAAGGACACTAGAGAATGACTCTTAGAGTGGGCAAAGACTCAAAGGGGAGGAGCGCTTTCCAGGTGAGGTCTTTCAGTCTCTCTGCCTGGTGTGAGAGAAACACCCCAGCTGGTCATATTACAACCAATTTCAGCACGAGGATCTAGTTTCAACCACCATCCATGCAGAGCTCACTGGCGGGCGAAGTAACCTGAGATTACTGGATCTGTGATTGTTTTTCTGTTGCCGGCTCCATATGGGATATAAAGAGCTGGCTGTTTGCTGAGCGCTGGAGGCAGCAGGTGTTTTGTTCAGGGTAGAAATCCCAGTAGGAAATGGAAGTCAGGTTCAAAGATCACATGGTAAGTGCAGATGAAAATAAACGGAGCGTTTATGGACTTAGTTATGCTTCCCTTTAGTGTGGGAAAAAAGCATAACTGTTAAAGATTTACAGAAATGTAAGGACGCTAGTCAGTGATGTGCATCAGCTCCCTTAGATTAATGTTGTTTGAAGCTGGAAAAATGATGACCTGAAGATGGAGGAGTGTCCTAAAGGAGTGCAGCTGCAGGCTTGGCAGTCTTGGATCAGGCGTTTTATTAGCAGATAACAAATCACTGTCGGCTGTCGTTTGTTTTTGTAAATAATCAATTTTCTTTTGGAATATGGACAATGCTCATATTTACATCTCATCTCTCTCTGATCTATAACGATGCGATCTTTATCTGCAGTTTCACATGCATCTCATTGCTCCGACATCATGACCTACATCCAAAGTTAAATTTTAACTGGTTGTAAAGTCAGTGAGCTGTAAATGAGCTCTGTGAGCGTAGACCTTCCCGGCAGCTCGGTGTCCTTCTACATTGAGTTGTTTTGTATACTTTGTTGCTGATGTGATTTCCATAAAGGCATATACTCCAACTACTCATCAAGCCTATTCACGGACTCCTCAAAAAAGTTGCTTTGTTTGAAAACTGGCACACTTAAGTGACCTTTCTGTGTCGCTTGCAGCTTTGAATCTATAAATGCAACAAATCTACTGCAGATTTTTAAAAAAGGAAAAAAAAAAAACGTAACTACTTCAGCTGCTGTTTCAGTCTACCTTATCATCAAATCAGAAAAAGTCATGACCAGCTTTTGTTTGAATACTAATGTCAGTACTTGTATTTATTTTTTTTACCTTCTCCAGTTTATGATTAACCAAGTCAAACAAGAGGCCTGCTGTTCCCAGGTTAGACATTGTACACCTGCGAGTTTAAGGTTTTCCTGGTGATCATTTGTGAGATTTTATTTTTGTAGTTGTTGTTGTTGTTGTTTTTTTTTTGTGTAACCTAATTTGAAAAACTAAACAGTCAGAGTCAGCAAATTGAGGTTGTTTAATTAGGTTATGTGTTTGGGTGTGACTGGACGTTGGGTGCTCGGCTGATGTTGCTGTACTTTAAGCACTAATGTGCATCAGGGCCTTGTACTTGTCGTGTGCCCTGTTCAGTGTTTAAACAAACTCCAAGTCTAAGCAACACTACACCACTGTGTGTCTGACTTGAGTATCAGGCTTTACTCGTTCTGGCTGTAGCTTAGCAAGCGTCTTCCTCGGTGTATGAAATATAGTCCACGGCCAGGCTGCAGTGTTGGCTTGTTTTTAAAAAAAAAAAAAAAAAATGCAAATCACATTGGGCATGTTGCCATGTTCCTGTAAGTCAAAGGTCGTCTTTTTTTCACTGATATAAATCCCCCCCAGAAGAATCTAATAGTTCCTTGTCACCAGTTGCTCTACAGTTTCGTTCATCCCCAGGTACTCGGCCAAACAGCCATGTCTACTTGTTCTTTATCTCAGATGCCAGGATGGAAAGCTCTTATTTGAAACAATAAGCTAAATATTGTAACTTGATAATGTCAGCATGGACTGTGTTAAAGGATCCCATTGCATTTTGCTCGATTCTTATATATATATATTAAAATTTTTCCAGTTGTTGGTTGTAGTCTGTGGCGTAAAGGTGGTTAAAAACATGCACACACATACCAGGTAGCCCCTCCTCCATACTGGTCAGGCAGGATTGCGACAGGTGAGAGCATGTTGAGATCAGGTTCACGTATTGGCACATTCTGTCTTCCACTCAGGCTCAGCTGTCCTCTCTGTAAGGACCTGGACTATATGTTGATTATGAGTTAATTAATCATGATTTATTATTGTCAATTGCTATAAAAAAATATTATTTTTCTTATTGTATTTTTTCCCCCCCAGAAACCAGGCATGGAGGAGATAACAATATGGGAGCAACATACAATAACACTAAACAAAGTAAGTGATTTTTTTTATTTTTTTTTGGTTTGTTTGTTGTTGTTTTTTAATTGAATAATTGAGATATATATGTGAGGTGTTATGGTGAAACTGCTAGCGTGTTTTACTTTTCCAGTTGTTTAATCAACATGAAATAATGAGTAGGCTAAATTAAGTTTAACATGGAGATTCTAGTGTGTGGCTAAACAAATACACATGTGGAAAGTGTGTTTCGTTGTGGTTTCTGAGGGACTGTGTTCAAGTCCTCTTAGTTTCACAGCACAGGCTCCGTCAGGAATTCAGTGACACACCCTGCTGCACCCCACGGCACCAGCCAGCTCTTCGCTGTCCTGCCTCATTGTTGGCGACACTGGAATGTGTTCTTTCCTCCTCCTATCTCTCTACTGTATCTCCCACTCATGCTCATCCACCCACCTACTTCCCTGCACTCTTTACTGTCCATCATTTTCTCTCGGTCTCATTTTTTTTTTTTCTTGTTCTTTCTAAATGGCAGGATTCCAAACTAGGATTTGGTTTTGCAATATCAGGAGGCAGGGACAAGCCGCAGCCCGATGGGGACACGTCAATTCTGGTGTCAGATGTGCTGCCAAATGGACCAGCCATGGGACGACTGTTGTAAGTTGGAGGCCTTTTGCTTTTAATGTGTGTAGAGACCTCTTTAAGATTTGACTGTTGAATGAACACCTGGCTGCCTGTGTATACTTGTACTTCTGCAGCACCAAAGACCAAATTGTCATGGTCAATGGCGAACCTATGGACAACGTCCATTCTAACTACACCATTCAGACCCTGAAGTCTTGCGGCAAGACTGCAAACATAGTAAGTGTGCACCGAGCCTTATTTAATTTGTGCCAAGTGGCTTCCAATCTTGGGTTTCTTTCTGATGGGCGTGTTCTGCGTCTTTCCCAGACAGTGAAACGTCCTCGTAAGATCCAGATCCCAGCAACCTCATCCACCAGACCCACTCGGGCAGCCTCGCACTCCAACTTGCTGGATGCGGACCCTCCGAGACGGCAACGACGCCACTCTGATGGGAGTGACAACATGGACTCCAGCCGCTACGGTGACGATGACCGCTATCGTGCTGATGACCGTTATCGCACCAACAACCGTTACACACGCCGAAGCCCCACGCCCGAACGCAACGGGCTTGCAAACGCCGCGCCGTTGATTTCATCGGGGTACAAGAGGCTGCCGCTCAAAAATGTTTCAGAAAAACCCATCAGAACTACTTTGATTAAAAAGAAAACCACAGATGGTAAGATTTCAGGAATGAGAGCGAAGGGAAACTTTTTTTGTTTGTGAAGAAGCGAAGCTTTTTAGACAAAAATAATCTGCTCAGCTCATCTTTTTTAAAGTGCTTATTTCAGTATTTCTGGCTTTATTTTTCTGCAGAGTATGGACTGAAACTGGGCAGTCAGATCTTTATCAAGCACATGACAGAAACTGGCCTAGCTGCAAGGGAAGGCACCCTGCAGGAGGGCGACCTCATTCTCAAGGTAATATTTCACTTGTCTTGGAGTATTTTTAAGCTACAACTATTCTACAGGACTGGAAGATTTCATTATTAATCTTCAGTTTGTCTTAATCAAATTTGTATCTGTGAGCAGATCAATGGCATGACAACAGAGAACCTATCCCTGCTGGAGACCAAGCACCTGGTGGAGAAGAGTAGAGGCAAACTGACCATGACGGTCCTCAGGGATGACCGTAGATTCCTGGTCAGCATCCCAGAGGTGGAGGACAGCCCCCAGAACAGCAATGATGAACGTCGCAAAGACAGCAGCTCAGAGCTGGATGGTAAGGGAATCAAACACAGGGGAAAAGGTGGAGAAATCAAAACGGTGAAGCAGCTTCTACTTATTTCATGGGTGAAATCAAAGTCCTGTAAAGTCGGTCTAATCCTGTAATGTCCCTCATGCTTGCTACAGTCAAATCCCTTTAAATGTAGAACTTTTTTGGGCTACAGGCTCAGATTAATTAATTCAATCTTGCAAACACCCCCTGTATAACTTGAAAAGTTAATACATTTTCTGTTTCTGTCTCCCATCAGAAATTTCAGACATTGATGAGGACGTTCCAGCCCACAGGACACGTCCAAGCGCCAAGGAGAGGCGGACACGCAGGTACAGACTTTACCCTGTCACTCCGCCTAGTAAAAATTAAGTCCACCGATGTAATGCACAAAAAGCGTAAATCCTTTATTGGATTTGATCTAAAAGCACTGAAGAAATCTTTTATTTCTCACACAGAACAAAAGCTGAACCTCCACTGCCAAAGTCTCGGGATCAATCGCCTGTGCGCTCCACCTTATCCCGGCCACCTGTAAAAGCCTACGCTCCTCGCCGAGGTCAGTCCTGCAGAGAATTACTTTATTTTATTTTACTTTTTTTTTTTTTTTTTTGCAGATGCTTGTACTCAAACCAGCACTGATTTGCTGGTTTTCTTGGAAAAAAAATATTTACAAGTCCTATAATTAGTTTTCTAACTGTTGATTATTGTTTATTCAGCTCCGTCTGAATCTGAGTCCGACCACAGTGCATCTCCTCCTCCTCCTCCTCCAGTCAGGAGAGAGAGGGACAGGGACAGCCTGGACCAAAACAACAAATACAAGTCAGTTCACACGGATGATATCATTAAAATGACCTAGGTTTATTTTATTAAAGTATATATACATATGTTACTACATATTAAATGCAGTTAATGTCTGTATGAGACATTATTTTTGCTTTTACTCTTTGAGCAGATCTCTGTCAGGAGTCTCCACCCTCCCCAACCCCAAATCCTCTCCTGTTGCTCACAACTGGACTGCACCCGTCTCCGCCTCCTCCACTTCCTCACGCCCTCGCAGGCCGGTGTCGGAGTCAGACTCTGACCCCGAAGGTTCCCCACCCCCACGCAGAGATGGCCCTCGTCTGGACAGTAGATACAAGTACGGACATTTCTTTATCCAGTTCCAGGAATAAACAACAAAAGCACAAAGATCACTTGCACAGAAATATTCAAAAACAGAAGCCATAATTTGCACCAGCATCATCAGTTATTTTGGTAAACAATTATTCATTCATGCCCCCAACCCTTTCTTGTCTCTGCAGAGTTCTGCCTGATCGTTACGCAGGCCGGGTATCTTCCCCCATCGTTGTTCGCCAAGATCCACCAAGGAGGGTCAACTCACCTGTGAGAGGCCCGCCTCCAGGTCTGCACAAAAACACGCAAACAATCCAGTCTCCTTGTGATGTACACGTCCCGGACTTTGTCTCACACCTCCTTGGAAATATTTACTTTATCTTTAAATGTTTGCTTATGACCACGTGTCAGCAGTGAGATGAAGCTAAGGCCAGAGCAGAATATGAAAGATGCACATGAAAACATAAGATGGCTTGTAAGTGAATGAATGTAGAAGAGATAAAGTAAGTAAGAGTAAAAGAGTGCACGAGCAGCATCCAGCAGTGCACGTATGAATGCATGTAACACTGCAGAGGCTGAGGGATGACACTTAAAATATAGAAGGAAATGATGGCTAAAAAATAATATTCATGTAATTATTTTTGAAAGCATTATTTATAAGTGAGTAGATCAAAGCATAAAGGTGGAAAACATTATGTATAACTCTTCATTCAATCGTCTCATTGAGATCAAAACATTTTCCAAGAAAGGAGAGACGACAGATGCAATAATCATAAATAATGTTGGGTAATAAAGAAACTGTAGTATCTGAAAACAGTTGTTATTCCACACATGAGCATTAAAGATAATGGATTTTGAATTGTGGAGATTTGAGGCATCTCGGGAACGTAAACACACAATGGAAATGCTGCAGATTAATCAGAAGTAAATATGTTGTTTACTGTTTATATTAATAAAATTAATCTATAAACGCTTTTCTTTCTCCTCAGATTCTGACTCCGAGTCGGATGGCTTCTCTGAGCCTCCTCAGAGGCGTAGCACCACATACAGTCAGGACTCTCTCAGCAGATACAGGTACACATGAAACCCCCACACCTACCTGAAACCCAACAAGATCTCACGGACCGGAAACTGAGCAGACTCTGTGGCTCTCTGGTTGTTAAACTTAGTTAATCATATATATTTTTATTTTTAATGTTAAACTACCTAACCTTTGCTCTTTGAGTTGTTTAAATTTGATTTTCATTTTGTGCTTTGTCTCATTTGGAAATTTCTTTTTATTTTGTCTGATTTTCTGTTTTTGACTGTGTACAGAATCTGTGCTTTAATTTTGTTGACTAATAAAATAAAACTGAACATGTTCTCTCCTATATGTGGCTGAAGTGTTGATTAAATATAGGACACTCGTTGCAGCAACAATCATATCGTAGAATAATTCCCTAAGACTCAAATCAAAGTCTTTCAAAGTTTTGCGTAGTGTGCATGTGTTATACAGCATGTTTGAATCTCACAGTGAGCATCACAATCAAGTAGCTAATAGCTAAACTTAATAGAGTGGTTAATTTCAATCAGTCACAAAGCAGTTTACCGCCAAAGAGAGAGCTTCCCTCAAACAGAATAAGGTGAATATTCAATATTTTAGTCTCATCCTCTCATCAATAATCGTCTATTAGCCGCTGGTCCCCCTCGCCAAACGTAACTGAGATTTGTTGTCTTCCTCCTCCCTCACTCCCACCTCCCTCTCTTCTCTTCCAGGGTCCTGCCAGAAGTTTCCCTGCAGCCAGAGGTGGAACCACCAAAATGGAGCACTGCCAACAATCCACCACAGAAAGGTGTGTGCACTGAAGAAAACATTTATTTCTCAGACAGAACAAAAGCTGAACCTCCACTGCCAAAGTCTCGGGATCAATCGCCTGTGCGCTCCACCTTATCCCGGCCACCTGTAAAAGCCTACGCTCCT